TATGGACATATTACAGGGTTACATACACAAATGTACACAAATCAGCCCTTATATTTACGATTACATGTGTATCCTTCATTTCAAAGACATTTGAAAAGCATGTGCGAATCTACATTTCCACATTTATGTCTGCACTCTATTAATGAAGCAGGACTGAGCTCGTTTTGCCTGTCTGAACATTTCTTGATGTTACATTTGGAAAACAGCCTGTTTTTTTTTTTTTTCTTATGCTCATGAAAGGAGCTCTTTTACTGCTCTGACCCCCTGGTCACCCAACTCACCCCTCCTCAGGTAACCCATCTAAAACATCACTCCCCCACGCACTACTACAGCACAACTAGCACTACTACTACTACTTACTGATACACATAGGCAGAGGTGGGCAATATGACAATATTTTGTTGTTATTGTGATAAATTTTATTATTAGGATAAACAAAATTGTTTTCTTTGCATATTGGGGATATCATCAGTACTTAAAAGCTGCATGTTTCATTACAAAGAGAACGTAATTAGTACCAGAGAACAGAATAAAAAGTTAAAAATGTTTGTATGTTTCTAAATTTGAGTGTTATGTTAAACATCCAGCAAAGCTTGAATAAAAACATTAGATATAAATACGATTAAACACAGCTTAAACACTGCTTGATCAAACCTGAGAACTATGTGGGCGTGGCTAATGAGCAGCTTGATTGACAGCTCTCTGTCCAACACTTCTAGCCTGCTCAGCCGCTCATACAGAACTAAAAAACATTATTCAGCTTTTATTTAACATTAACTGGACAAAAAAACTCATGGACGAACAGACATGCAAATAGATGGATGAACAAACAAACGGATGGACAGACAGATGAACGAACAAATGGTCAGACAAAGCAACACGTGAATAAAGGAACAAACAATGTTTGTGTTTGGATAAACGAATGAACAGGCGATAGGGAGCTACAGACAGGGGGGTCTAGCTTGCTAGCTTTTGGTTATGCAGGGTTAGCTTCAGCTACGTTTTTCTGACTCTGAAACTGTTTTTTGTGGGCGGGGCAAGAGACATCAGCCATGTGATTGGTAAAGGGAATTCTTACGGAAGCATTACTCACTATTAGGACCACCCAGTTTACATGAAGAGGAGACAAATACTCCATCATCAGCTGACCTGCCTCAAAGCCTCACACAGCACAGCAGGTAACCTTAGAAAACTACCTTGCTTGTGTTAATATGAGCTTGGATTACCAGCGCAAACAAACAGAATAGAAATAACTCCTCACTGATTGGTTTACAACCAGTCAAAAAACCAAAACTGAAAGTGAGAGAATAAAGTGAGAGAGCAAGGTGATGATAAGAGGAGGTTGTCTGCTGATATACATGAATGTTCAGCTGTGCAGAGGTGATGACGGGTGTTCTCACTCGATGATGGGTCAGGATGGTGGGAGGGGGAGGGAAAACATGCTACGAAAGTACTGGTTAGTATATATTTTTTTCTCTGTCTCTGATACACAGTGACGCAACCATGTGTCAGACGGTGTTTAGAGGCAGAAAAAAGTCACATTTCAACCAAAGACATTACAGCTAGTTTTTTGAATGATATGACATAATGGATTGTGATTAATATGACCAAGGACATGAACTAACAAGGTAGAAAAGGTCCATTTTGATTTCAGGTGGAATTTAGTGCCTCACAGTATCTGCATTTTATTCAGAGTTGATTCAAATGCGGTGCTACAGGTTTATTGTATCAGTGTGTCAAAATATCATGATACATATTGTGTATTATAAAAATGTCTTTACGTATCGTGACATGATATTTTTGTGATATCGCCAGCCCCTATGTGTAGCTAAACAGGGCAAAAATATAACATCAAAACACTTGACACAGTTCCATTATACATAATATCACCATGGTTGGAGATGGAATGCACAAAATGCACCAACAAAACAGCAGTGCCATGTTTAAAATTGGCTTTGAAAAACTGAGCTTATGTACATCCTGAATCAAAATGCATGTTTAGTGATGGGATCACATTCAGATTTCACTTGACATGTTATGATCGGACTTTCACAGTACCGTCTTTTGCAAAACTCATATGAGGCTGCAATATGTAAATGACCTCTATAAGAAAGTAGTTAATGTTTCAATGTGTGCTGTGAGAATCCTGACTAACTTCAGGTGAGTGTTTCTGTGGGAGTTTTTATGAATTAATGCAGTCATGTGATAAAGTAAACAAATCATTTTGGCCACAATTACCACTGGCTGGAAACACACACACACACACGCACACACACACAGCCTGTCAAAATTATTACCACTACACGCCAGAGAGGGCATAATACCACTGTTTCTTTTCTGATACTGATAATGAAACCTTGAGTATCAGCCGATGCTGATGCAATATTATACTAATCTGATATTATACTAATCTGATAACAACAAAGCTTTAAAATGAGGTTTTTTTTTATTGAAGCACTTTAGTTAAGATTAACATCTAAAAGTAGACTATCATGAAACTAGTACACCACAGGAAGCACTGCACAGCTAACAACAGCACATCCCTTAGTGAGAGTGTGTGCTATTTTAAGATAGATTTGTTACAGGAATAGATCAGATTCCTTCTTCTTTTGCAACGAATATCCAATCTGGCATTTTCTGCTGATATTGACCTGATACAGAAGCCCACACGCATTTACACATCAGACACACATAAAGTTCCAGCATGAGCAGCTTCAACTCTGTGCACTCAAACACTGTCACTGCCTCAAACCCCCACCGCACATAAACTCACTCACACACACACAAACCTAAACCCCAGAGCAAACACACCTGCTCCTGTTAAATGAGACCAAACTGGCACGTTTTAAAAAGGGTTACATCTGTATATTTGCGTCATGTTAAAGCAGGATTTGTTTGTGGTTTTACACCCACCGCTTCAGGATTGGATATTTTCACCAAATATGACAGTCATGTGCGTGCTGACTAGCAAATTTTTTAAACCACTGAAAAAACAGAGCTCCAGAACTCAGGAAATAGAGGAGAGTGCTGTTTTAAAACATTTCAGCACTTTCAAATAAATCACTGGGCCATGTGTGCATTTTTGTGTGTCTATAGGGCTTGGTTTGAAACATCTCAGCGCTTTAAATTAATTCATTAACGAAGACCCCAGACAAGGTCTTGGACAGTGCTCTGCTCTTCTCTCATTTGTTGAAAGTACCAGGAAAAGTTAAACCAGGCAGATCATGGTGGCTACTGAAGCTTTTTTGTTGTACTGAGCAAACTGCTAAATGGAGTTTTAAGGGTGGGAGGCTCAGTGAAAATCATAACATTAAAATAAAAGATCATTGGATAATCATCGGATAATTGTACATTATGAAAAGTCATAGCCTACCATCTTTATGTCAGTTTCACTGGAGTCTAGCTGGTCTTGTGTAGTAACTTATCTGTTCTTTGATGTCTCATCATTTAAATTGCAAATATATTTATATATATATATATATAATATATATATATATAATATATATGGTCTTGTGCTAAGAGGACTAGTAGGCTTCCTAAAGATTTTTTGTTTTTTGTGGAGAGGGGCTATACTGAGTGGGGTGATGTGGCAGAGTCCCAGGTGGCTGAGAAGGGTCCCACAGCACCCCCTATTGCTCTGGAGAGTGCCTGCAAGCCAGGACTGGGCTCCACAGTGCTGCCCAGAGCTCTGGAGAACACCAGTGGGAGTGCAGGGTTCCTAGACTCCGTCCAGGGCCATGGAGAGCACTGGGTCATTGATACCTGCCCTCAAGGCACCCTTCAAGTACTAGGACAGAGGTGGCTCACCAAGACACCTAGTCAGTGATGGCTCCCAGATCCTCATTTTCTGTGGCAGCTTTTCTAGCTGCCTCTCCTGGGGTGGCGACTACAACTGGAGCTGATGCTCCTGTTCTTGCTCCAGGGCCAGCTTCCCAAGGTGCCGTTCCTCTTGTGGTGGTCTCCTGTGCTGGCTCCCCATCATGTTGCTGTGCGTGCTCCTCCTTTTGCTGGCTCCCAGAGCTGCTCCAGTGCTAGCTTTTAGGAATGGTCCACCTGGGCCAGCTCCCAGGACTGCTCCTTCTCTGCCCGGTCAATGGATGGCTCTACAGCCAGCTTCCCAGTGCTCCACTCAGCTGGCCCACATTGCTGATCCCACCTGTGTCCCTTTGATCAGTTAATTACTGCTCTCCCCTTGCTGCTGGCTGTGGCCATGCCTCCTCATGGACCCTCTATCGCGTGCTTCAGAAGCCGTGCCTATGGGGTGGGGTGGGTTGTCATGTCTCCCCATCTGGGGAGATTCTACTTGGGCCTTCCCTGGCTCTTTCCATTTGCACACCTGCAAGTGATCCTGGACTCCCTAGGGGCCTGTTATACCCCTTTTGTTTAGTGATTGTGAAGTCTGTGCGACCTGAGTTCTAAGCTGTTTTCTTTGTGTTTGTTTGTTCCTGTGTTTTGACCCCTGCTTAGTCTTTGTTTTTGATTATGGAAATGGCTTTGAAATTGCCTGCCTGTGTTTTGACCCCTGCCTGTGGATTTTGAGTATCTGACTGACCCAAATAAAGCCACTTTGCACTTCCAGCAGACTTATATACATGCTCTGTTACAAGCATAATCTATACAGATTATTTATATATGCACATATGAAAATGCCAGCTGCTGCTTTGCCACTTGACACAATTGCAGTCTAAAATGACTTATTAGAATAAAATTATTTTACATGAACTTTTTTCCTTCTCTGTATTTGGAGATTTCATCTGACAGTGAGCTGTCATATTTTTTACAGTTATTAAACTTTCTTCTGATTAAAACCTAAGTATTAGTTCACCTTCGTCCTTACACTCCAAATCATAACCCTGGGGTGTGCGAGAGCCCCCACGTGTAGAAATGGCCCTCAGCATGTTCAATACAAGGCCTACGTAAACCTACTCTTTGCGCATTCAGGGCTTCCACACAAACTACATTTCCCACAATGCGCTGAGTCTACTACGTGACGGCGCTGGTTCAAAGGTGCAAGGCAGAAAGCATGGTGGTTAGGGAAGCTAGCTGAAGTAACTTAAATGCGACAAAGTTTGTTTACAAACGTCGTTTTTACCTGTTCTTGTGAGACATGATGTCGAAAGACCCAGAAGTGTCGGAGCAAGCCTTAATTAAATTGATATACCTGCATTTGAAGGAGAATGGACACGAGAAAGCGGCCAACGTGCTCAAAAAGCACGCCCCTCAGGTTTACTGCACGTTTACATACTCATCTAAGTGTCTTATTATGATGTCTCAGTTATACCGCGCTTTACTGCTCTTACTTGTGTTAAACTGGACAGCAGCGAGAAGCGTTATAACCGCTGCTTCGCTGTATGACAAACTCGCAGGGCTGCGGCACAAAGTTTAACGCGGAATGTGAGCGTGGTGGTCTTGGGTGGTGGGTTTATGCGCTGTGTTGTAGCTGACCCTCGCTGCCAGTGTTTTGTATGAGCTGACTCAGTCTGAGTAGGCGAGCTGGACGCTGTAGCTTCCCTCGAATGTTAGTTTTTATTGGAAGGGTTTGTAGGGCGCCTTTTCGGTTCTTGACTTTCTGATTGTCCAGAATCGAAACTAAACCTCAGAAGGTGTGCTCAGGTCTAGGTGTTTGGTAAATATAGGTACTGCACGTAATAAGGGCTTATTATATACATCTTTCTCAGTGTAGTCTCTCTCTTTGTTTCTCTTTCTTTTTTTCTCTCTATAGCGATACTTATATTTATCCCAGTAATCCTGGTTATGAACTGCTTGTTTTCCATAATCTCAATTAACACAATCCGTGCGTTACAGTGCAGAGGCGACTCAAACAGTGTGTGAGCTCAAGAGCTGATAGGCACATGCAGCCACTGTATTCTCTGATATATTCTGTCTGTCTTTCTCTGCGCTCTGCCTGTCTTTCTTTTTTTTCTTTCATTTTTTAAACGTTTTGATGCTTTTTGAAAATGCCAGCTGCCCTTTTTATTTCATAAATGTTTCAGAGGAAGGAAGTGGTCCATATAAACATGTATTTAACAGTAAATTACACAAAGTTATTGTCCGTCAGAGGTTGAGGGTCACTGTAGTTCATGAATAAGGTGCAACACTCTTGGTCTCTCCTGCATCCCTGTTTTGGAGGCAGTGTTTATCAGATTTTGCAGTAGAGCTGGGCGGTAATGGCAAAAATGGAATATCATGATACCTCAACAAATTGCTGGCACAGTGTGTCACGATATTCATTTTACTGACGTCTGATACGTCGGAACAGATGAAGCAGTTTGATGAACTGAACAGCACTGAACTAAATTCAGTTAACCAAACCTAATTATTCTGTCTTCGTAATCAAACAGGCAGTCAGTCAGTGTTTCTCAAGTATTGACGATATCCATGATATGATCAGAAAAGCATAGTGTGACATACTATGACATAATTTATCACACTAACAATAATTATTGTAATATTGCCCCACCCTATTTCACAGGACTACAAATTCGTGTCGTTCAAGCTCAGCTCAGTGGTGTTCCACATTTTAGTAAATCACTGCTCTGATATCAAGAGGCAAATATGGACGAGATGGACTTGGGGAGTGATGGACTTAAAGGGGAATTCCGCCAAACTTTCTAACTTTTTGAATGTTTAAAAGTCAGCTTTATTGTCATTTTGTCTCATTACAGACGTTTTTTAGAAAGGAACAAAATATAGTTTCTCCGGGACACAATGCTACATTTAACACAGAACAGCATCAGACAACAGTGCAGACAGACAGTACATTAAATACAGACTTTTTACAATAAACTCTTCTGTACAATATAAAATAACTATACAACTGTTAAGCACAGGACAATAAAGAAAGCACACCAGCTGTTGGTCCACAGCAGTGTTAATAGTTGTATGTGGCTTTTTTTTTTTTAAATGAATAAAATGGCAGGCAAAGTACAGATTCAAGTGACTGTGCATATAAAGCAAGGTACAATTTCATATTACAATCATCACAATGGAAACAAAGTCATTTAGAGTGGTTTGATGTTGTAGAGAAACTTAAGAATTTCGGAAGAGTCCAAATTGTTCACAGTGATGGTGATAGGAACCAGATGTCTGTAGCATTTAATGCCTCCAAACGCAGCTTCACAGAAAGTTATTACCCAACAACAGGAATGAATGAATATGCTGCCTGATGCCTGAGATGTTGTTTTACGATAGTTTTTACAGAAGAATGTTACCTAAAATTTTGAGTATGTTTTTGACAGAGAGGTATGTGCAGTTTGTTGTAAAGCAAAAAATTCCCCAGAGAAAATTTGTCATCATATTGCATATAAAAAACTCAAGAGACACGTTTAGGATTACTGGTGGTTTTGGATAGTAAATTAAATGGCTGTATTTCCATTATACATATCGCAAGCCCTAGTTCCTGTCACCACCACTGTAAAAGAATCCGTAAGTTTCTCTGCAGTGAACCGTTTCACATCAAACCTCTCTGAATGCAACTCACTATCAAGCAAGCCCATGTTGATTCAGAAATGTTAGAGCAGCAAAAATAAAAACCTGTGCTAGACATGCATCCTCAAAGTGTACAGTAGAGTTTAGAGGGTTACTGATTCCCCCAGTTTTTTTTCTATATTTATCGAGGGTCATTTTTGACACTGTTAATGTTAGTGCTAATGTGCCAAATAAACTCTAGTTCCATTAAATTATATTCGCTGCTTAATTTGTAGGTGAAGACTACGAGTGTGAAAGCGTCTCTGAATGACATATTCAAGAAATGGCAGAGGTAAGTGTTTCTTTAAAAGCAATGTTAAGTATCTGTCATGGGTCTCCCCTTCTCTGCCTTTGTGTTTTTATTGTTACACACCAGATTCACACCTGAAATTACAAAGAGTTTAGTAATTAGCTGGACAGTGAATCAACTTTGTTGCTGTTAAGAATTTTAGTACAAGGAAAACATTAACAGCACAAGGAGGCCTGAAATGGTACTGAATGCTATTGGAATGCATGGTGTTTATTGCTGGTTGTGCTTCATTAAACCCATAACATTTGTCTTGCCTTATGAAGTGAGGAAAGTGGAAAGAACAGTACAGGGGAAGATTCACAAGGGAAATCAACGGTCAGCAGCTCAGGTAAATTGTATAAATGGTATGAAAAGATGTCACTCTCAGCTGAAACTGAAAACACACTTTACCTGCCAATGACTTTGTATTTCTAGGTCACTGTTCAATTTTAAGCAAATTTATGACCATATTAAGACTTTTGTCCAAAAGGTCAGATTCCTATTTGGTCTTATTCCTTCTATTGAAACTTGTGTTCAGATGACTCTCAGGTGGATTTGATCTACTCATTAGAGGCATTTTTCACTGTTAGTGATCAGAATTGTTCCAGCTCGAGTGCATACTATCACCAAAGCAGAAGTAACACAAAGAAATTTTGGAATTCGTGTAAATGAGTGAAAGATGAGATGTTCTAACTCCTGTCTTTTTCCTAAGACTGAAATCGTTTTTCAGTCTGAAACCTGATACACATTCTACTGCTTTTCAGTGAGGATTGTACAGGCTGTGTGTGTATGCAATTGAATACCTACTTAAGAAGTGTTGTCTGGATACATTTGAACACACATGATGTTTTGTTACAGCAGTGACAGTATATTGGTCTTACTGTGATCATAGTGTTACTGATAGAGCAAATGTTATTACCCTCTTATGTCTTTTTCACAGAAATTGTTTCTCTTTCATGCAGCACCCAAACCAAAAAGGCCCAGAAATGTCCCCAAGGAAGGACCCAAGATCAAATCTAAAAAAAAGGACAAATTACAGGTATGGAGCTTATGCTAATATTCATAGGATGTTTAATCACATAAACTATAGCCTATAAATGTCTCTTACTGATTTGTCACCATTAATCCCACCCTCAGATAGCAGCTGGAGCAGGGGATGAGAAAAGGAAAAGACCTCAGAAAAAGAAGGACAAGACAGCCGGTTCAGAAGGAGGCCACACAGCTGTTCCAGAACCTCCCTTCATAAGTCCCACAGTAGAAGATGATTCTGACTCAGATTCCAGCCTCGATGTGGAGAAGTGGAAGAGATTAGCTCTAGAGTTCTCTGGTAGGACAGAAAGATGGTACAATGGTATAGGATCACCAGATGCTTTGTCCTGTTTTTCTGTGATTTTCCCAACCCATTAACACAAGTCTATCCACTTAGAAGAGATTGTCTGAGGCATTATTGACTAAGCAGTCTTTCATGGAAACTTGCACAGAGTACGAGACTCCAGTACAGTCAGTCAGCTGATGTCGGAGAGTAGCACAGGTGTCAACCTCTATAGACAGTCACCCTTATATTTACAACTTCCAAATGAAATAGATTTACTGATGCCTTTTATAGTACATTTATAATGGTGCAATCATTAACAGCAGCAGCAATTTCCTATGCTGTATTCCACTAGTATCTATACTGATTACTTTATTCAGAATCAGAAATTTTAGTTGTACTTTATTTGAAGGTTAAACAGCAAAACAGTTTCACACTGTTAAATGGTGATGCTTCTCTACCAGCAGTGCTTTTTTATGAAAATTATACAAGCTATGTGTGTATGCAATTGAATACCATGTGGGCAATGGGTGTACTAATCAGAAGTGTTGTCTGGATATATTTGGACATATATGACGCTTTGTTACCACAGTGACAGTATATTGGTCTTACTGTATTACTTATTAATTGCAGTATTACTGATAGGCAAACGTCATTACATCTTTTTCACAAAAATTGTTTCTCTTTCATGCAGCTCCCAAACCAAAAAGGCCCAGGAATGTGGGATGCAATATCAGCTCCAGAAAAAAGGACAGATTACAGGTATGGAGCTTATGCTAACATTCATAGGATGTTTAATTGTGTAAGCTGTAGCCCACAAAAGTCTCTTACTGATTTGTCAACATTAATTCCACCTCTATGTACAGACAACAGCTGGAGCAGGGAATCAGAAAAGTCCTCAGAAAAAGGAGGACAAGACAGCCGGTTCAGAAGGAGGCCAGACAGCTGTTCCAGAACCTGCCTTCATAAGTCCCACAGTAGGAGATAATTCTGACTCAGATTCCAGCCTCGATGTGGAGAAGTGGAAGAGATTAGTCTTAGCATTCTCTGGTAAGACAAAGAGTTTACAGTAGTGTAGGCTCACTAGATGCTCTGTCCTGTTTTTCTGTGTTCCCGTCTTGAATTTCTCAAGCACAAGTCTATCCACTTAGAAGGGACACAGAGAACGTGGAGTCGGTTTTATTTTGCGAAAAGCTGATGAGATAAAAGCCTCCTGTAGAATAATATGCAAGGTGATACTGAGGAGTTAATGCATTTATTGCCTATGCATTTTTGTGTGACGAATCACGGAAACTATACTATGTCTGATTATTATAGTGTAACTAATGCTTTATTGGCTTGACTCGTTTATCACATATGGCAATATCTGTTTTGTCTGTGCACAGCATGCATTGTCTATTGTCCAGAGTGTATGACTAGATATCCCGTATCTGAGCCCTATACAGTCTTATACGTCCAAAACTGTGGAAAAAACATTTTATACAGGTAAATAGTATTGGTTGACACCTGTGGAGTAGTGTAAAATAGGAGAATTGTAGGGTACAGAGTAGACGTATTCAAGTGGCCTAATGAATGATGACTAATGGTCATCGTCAATTTGTAAATTACTGTGTTGTTTTTCTAGATGCTGACATGGTAAAGACAAACATCAGCACCTCTACTGCAACCTTTACAGAGAAGTCTGCAAAAATAAGACAGCCAGCCAAGACAAAAAACGATAGAGGCACAAACATGAAGTCCAGGCCCTCTGCCAGGAAAACTAAAGCTAAACCTGCAATCAATCCCTCAAAAACCATGAAAACAGAGAAATCTTCAAAACAAAGAACCAAGAAAACTACCAACATTTTTGAGGTAGATGAGATTGAAACTCCATCCAAGAAAGCGAAAGATGAAGGCAGCCTTTCAGAACCTAATGTGGTTGAGATCCCTGTAAATGAAATGAACATTCTTTCGGAACAGCTTGTAATTCCTAAGACTGATGATCTCTCAGAGAATGGCAGAATTAAAACTCCCCCTGAAAAGGTTAAACACAAAAAGAAAAATAGCAAATTAGAATGTAATAGCTTTGAAACTACAATCAAAAATGTTGGGACTCAGAAACTAGAAAATCTGACAGAATGTAAGCAAGTCAAAAGTTCCTCTAAGAAATCTAAATCTAAAGTTATTACATCTCCAGAGCCTTTAGGTGTGGAGCCTCCTTCTGTGGAAGGTGACGCTGAGGGTGCCAGTAGCCACTTAATATTTGACCACTCAGAAAAGAACAATGCGTTTTCAGATCCTAAACTAGTTGAAACTTCCTCTAAGAAAGCTAAATCTAAGAAGTCTGTTGAACATACAGAACCTGTCGATGGGAAGATCCCATCAGAAAAAGCTGATGCTGGGGTGGCCAATAAGCAGTTCATATCTGATCATTCAGAGACTCCATCAAAAATAGCCAAGGCTAAAAAGTCTATTGATATTCTTAGTCCTACACAGGTTCAGACTCCTTCTAAGAAAGCTAAAGCTAAGAAAGCTAAAGAGCCTCCAGAACCTTTAGCTGTAAAGAGTCCATCAACAAATGCTGATGCAGAGGTTGCCTGCACACACTTGACGTCTGATCAGGTAGAGACTCCATCAAAAACAGCCAAGGCTAAAAAGTCTGATGATATTCAGAGTCTTATACAAATTGAGACTCCCTCTAAGAAAGCTAAAGCTAAGAAAGCTAAAGAGCTTCCAGAAACATTGGCCGTGAGGACTCCGTCAACAAATGCTGATGCAGAGGTTGCCTGCACACACTTGACATCTGATCAGGTAGAGACTCCATCAAAAACAGCCAAGGCTAAAAAGTCTGATGATATTCAGAGTCTTATACAAATTGAGACTCCCTCTAAGAAAGCTAAAGCTAAGAAAGCTAAAGAGCTTCCAGAAACATTGGCCGTGAGGACTCCGTCAACAAATGCTGATGCAGAGGTTGCCTGCACACACTTGACGACTGATCAGGTAGAGACTCCATCAAAAATAGCCAAGGCTAAAAAGTCTAATTATATTCTTAGTCCTATGCAGGTTGAGACTCCCTCTAAGAAAGCTAAAACTAAGAAAGCTAAAGAGCTTCCAGAGCATTTAGCTGTGAAGACTCCATCAACAAATGCTGATGCAGAAGTTGCCTATAGACATTTGACGTCTGATCAGGTAGAGACTCCATCAGAAACAGCCAAGGCTAAAAGGTCTGGTGATATTCAAGGTCTTCTACAAATTGAGACTCCCTCTAAGAAAACAAAAGCCGAAAAAGCTAGAAAGCCTCCAGAGCCTATAGCTGTGAACACCCAAACTGGCAAAGTTGATGCTGAGGATGTCAATAGCCACTTAAACTTTGATCACTCAGAGTCTCTGTCAACAAAAACAGAAAGTGCTGTGGAGCCTGAATTAGGTGAGAAACCCTCTAAGAAAGTAAAAGCTAAGAAAACTGACAATATCTCAGAGCTAAATATAATTGAAACTCCATCTCAGAAAAACGGAGGTCATGTAGCTGTTGCCCTCTCAGAAGCAGTTTACTCTGAGACGCCTTCTAAAAAAGCTAAACATCAGAAAACCAATACCCTCTCAGAAGCTCTTCTCTCAGAGACACAATCTAAAAAGTCTAAAAAGAAGAAAAGTACAGAGGCTGATCATGCTGAGTCTCCCTCTATGAAGGCTTGTTTGGATATCGGGGGAACTGACAAAAAACACTCCAAAAAGAGCAAATGCAAGATGCCTGACAACATAGAAAGTGATGAGACTCATTCTGTAACGGATATCTCTAAATCAGCAGAACACATTAAATCCAGAGTAGATGATGGCAGTCTTTTAACTAACCAGACAATTTCATCAGAGGATATCAGCAGCCCCAGTACCGAAACCCAGCAGGGAAAAAAGAAAAGGAAAAATAGAGACAAAGAAAACGTAAATGTTTCAGCTCCTGAGGATGGTCCTGCAGAGCCAAAGAAGAGGAAGAAAGAGAAGAAAAAGACGAGAGAGAGTGATGACAGTGTAGTGGAAGATGTTCCACCAGCCTCATTGTCAGAGGTGTCTGTGGATACCGTGGCAAGCAGTCAGGAGAAAAAAAGTAAGCCTTTTGTTCCAGTTGAGATGCAAGAAAATGCAAGACTAATGTCCTGATAATGAAACCCATTTGTTCTTTGTTTATATTTCACTTTTTGTCTCTGTCCATTTGGTAAACAATTTGCAGAGAAGAAAAAAAAGAAAGATAGAGATGAGAAGCAAGCACTCGTGCCTTCTCCTGAAGAAGAAACTCCAAAAAAGGTAAAACTTTTATATTATGAATTACTGAATGTTGACTTTTATGGATTCTCCATGTTTTCTAGTGATTCTCAAGAAAATGATTCACCTCTGTTATTCCTTTTTGGAATAAATTTGGCAAAGCCATATATATAGTGTAGATACATTAATAGAGGAGTGCTCTGGTCCTGGTGAATTAACCCTTTACCTTTTACTCTTGATGCAGTCAGTCTGCTCTGATCAAATGAGAGAGAAAGAGGAAGCGAGAGAGAGAGAGAGAGAGAGAAAGTGAGAATGGGGCAGGGAGGGGAGGAAAACAGCAAGAATAGTGGGGAAGGTCATTTCTAGCCGTACAGCTTCTCTTTGTGGTAGACACACAAACTTACACTGTCTAGCCCACAGGTCAATATATAGACACATCTTAAAATCAGATAACAACAACAACAACAAATGTTCTTTTACTGGAGGGCGGGAGGCACGCACAGCACAGCTTTGCAAATCACGCCCCTAAAGCCCCTTCTGAAACAAATTTTAAATTAAAAGTAAACAATGTTTTTGCCTCCACCTGTAAAGATACCATTTAAAGTAACCATTTTGATCTAATGAAGCCAAAAGTAACAGAAGGCTTTTATCGTAACTTTTTCTTTTGTGCCTAAAGCTACCATTTTGAGCAAGAACAGGAACATGTCATACATCAGCCGTATTTTATCATCATCTTTTTAACCCACTTGTTCCTGCTAGGGTCTCCTTAGCAATAGGGAAAGCAGACTGTCTCCAGGAACTTCCTCCGGCTAATTCTGAGGGATCCTAAGCCACTCCCAGGTCGACTTGGAGATCCCCAGCAGGTCCTAGGACAACCTCGGGGTCTTGTCCCAGTCAGCTGTGCCTGGTAAACCTCCAATGGGAGGCGGCCAGGGGACATTCTAATCAGATTCCTGAACCCCCTTCAACTGGCTTCTCTCAATGTGGAGGAGAAGCGGTAGTGGGTAGTAGATCACCAGGACCAGGTTTAGGTCCCACTGCACTAAATAGTGTGATTTACATATGTGTTTGGTTCCCAATCTGTAGTTTATTTCTGTAACAATGATGAAAGTTTGATTAATCTTTGCTCTTTTTGCCATTTAGAAAAAGAAGTCTTCAAAAGAAAAGGCACACGTGAATGATGTGGCACAAGAAGGGCAAATTTAAATGCAACTGATGATTGGTAGACATCTGATCAGTCTCACAACAGAGGCTTTGGAACTGGGACATGAAAACAACAAACATTGTGTATGCCGTCCTGTATGTTTACTGCGTAACTGTAGATATATGTATATACTTCTGTGTCTGTGTGTGTGTGTGTGTGTGTGTGTGTGTGTGAAAGAGAATATTTTTAAATTTTTTAGAGGAGTGTTTTTGGACATTTTTAGTGTGTCTAGAACGTCCTGAGCTATGTTTTATATTTATGTATTCATTTTTAAAGTGAGATGAACATACCTTAACTTTGCTGGTACATGGATTTGAGGACTCCCCTAAACAAAACTGATGTCACCAACAGATGTTCAGATGCTCAGATGCATCTTTTATAATCTTGCCATTTATGATCATTGTTGTGAAAAAGAACCACTGTCTACTGTATATTACATAATAACTGTATTTCTCTTTGTAATGTTTTTGACAAATATATTTTCACATTTTCTTACTTGTGTCTGCTGATATTGTTGAGTATTTCAAAACCCATGGATAGGATTTTTTTTCATTTAGGGAATGAGTTTGTCAAGGAAATGAATTGCAAATAATCTCATTCAGGCCCAACCCTGAGGTATAGTTTCATACGGGATTCAGTTTTTTTTTGTTTTTTTTTCGGATTAAGTGTTTGAAAAGGTGCTGCCATGAAGTTAAGTCTGTTTAGATTTAAGGTGATTTGGCATTTAATCAATACAGTAGGCATTCCTAAGGAATATTCTCACTGTGTGATATTAGGAAACAGCTCCTTTCAATGAGCACACCTGATCAATGGTTTTTAAAAAGACAAACAGTTCTGCAGCACTTCTTTAAATGTTCTCTATCAAACTTTCTCATTAGATCAGTGGTTCTCAGGTTCCCCAGATGGTCTACATCAGTGGCTTTCAGCTTGTGGGCTGTGGTGGTACTACAAGAGGTGTGTTGGCAGACAGGTTTTTTATTACAATTTATAGACATTTAACCAAAATAATTTTAATATGTCAATGATTACTGTTGGGATAATTATTTGTGAAACTAAAACATATTTGGGTCGAGCTCTTTGAGTGGCCGTGTAAAACGTAATATCTTTGTATTTTCAGTGCAAGTCAGTGTAGAATGTTTTTCGTTTCAATTGTATGGAATTCATCCATCATAGATAAATTGCCACGAACAGAAAATCCTAGTTTTGGTGAAATTAAATTACTTATGCTACATTAATTCTTCTGTTCTATTTCTTTGCATTTGAAATGATTGGGCCAGCCAAATCCTGTGGGCCATGGAAGCTTTTTGTGGTCGGTTGAGTGGCTGTGAGTTGCAAAGGGTTAGTAGCTTCACATCACACCTGTAATGGGTATTCAGTGTTCTTAAGGGCTTGATTAAGATGATTAAGACCATCTGGGGCACCCTGAGGACTGCTTTAAGAACCACTGCATTAGACCAGTACAGGGGTCACCAATCTCATACGCAAAGGCCCTGTGTAGCTGCTAGTTTTCATTATAACCAAGCAGAAGCATACCTCAACTAACTAATCAATTATTTGAAGACTGAGACCAACTGATTGAAGAGGTGGAATTGGGCTTCTGCTTGGTAGGAATGGAAACTTGCAGCCACACCGGATAAGATTGTGGTTCTCAAATCAGACCTCAGGACCCCTAGGTGGTCCACGTTTTTGCCGACTCCCAAAGATCGTACTAAAATATGGACTGCCTGGGAGGCCCTGAGGGTCAGTTTGAGATCTACTGTTCACGATGATGGTTGTTCAAAATAGTATAAAAACTGTGATAAAGCAGAAAGGACCAAAGAATAAGGTAATCATGGGAAGGTTATCAGTTTTCATTATAATATTAGTCAAGGAGTCTGTGTAATGATGCACTTTCTAGCTGGTAATGTGCATGAACACCTGCTCTCTTTCTCTATTATACTGCTCACACGACCTTTATATCAGTGCAGCTGATGTTTTTGAAGATTTTGTATGTACATACAAAGTAATGTATATGTTTTGTATCATTATTTATTCCCCCTGTGCAGTGTTCATCCCTTTAGCTGGAAGACACTAGAAAATCATCTTCCGCTGTTCTTCCATGCTTTTAGGTAAGAAGAAGGTGGAGGCTGTCTAAACGCCTTCAATAAATTTAAATAAGTGAGTTCATGTTCTGAATGCACTGACTTTAGACTTATTTTAGTAAATGATTAATTTCCACATTTTTGAAGAATTTACTGTTCATGGATAAAAGCTGTTCTATAGAGGGAACAGGGTTTTGGTTTACTGTTCATAATATTACTATGAGCTTTTAATGAACAAAAAATGAATACCTCTATTAGTTGAATTATGAATGATGACAACACCATGACTGAGTGAAAAGGATAGTGGCCTTCATAGATAATTATTAGAAACTGACATAATGACAGTTTTACTCTGTATAAAAGTTATTTGGGTAAACATTTTCTATTTAGCCTTAATTGGTAGTAACTGTTTTACATAGGATTAGAATGGAGACAAAACATGCAGTTACTTACATGTATGTAACACAGAGTAAGCAGAGAAACATAAAATACAGTCTGTGATTTGTAAAAGTACAAAATGGACAATGAATGACATATGATATGAAATAAATATGTATGTGTGTGTATATATATATATATATATATATATATATGTATATATATATATAATGTGTGTGTGTGTATATATGGAGAGAGAGAGTGTTGGTCGCTGTAGAGGATGTGTACTTATTTTTGTTTTTTATTGTATTGTGTACACCACAAATATACTTAAAGACTACACTCACCATGTATGTAAGTACTGGGAAAAACCTGTGTAAGCAATCTGGTTCAAACATGCTGAACATGCAGTTTTGCACTGAACTTGTGACCTTTTATTTACGAAATCTATGTGTGATTGTCCTGCCCTCTAGTGGTTATGACGTGTGATAAAATTTACACCCTCTTGTTCACCCACAGGGTTTTTTCCTACTTGCCTTCTCACTATGCTGTTGTAAAAGTGTTTATGCATGTACATACATGTGTAAATACACACACATGTATTGTTGAAACATTGCTGTGAGGATTTGATTGTGTTCAGTGTTGGGAGCACTAGTGAGATATTGATTTTGGATGATTAGTTCTGGATCACAAACACCACTCCAACTAATCCCTAAGGTACTGGTTGGTACTCCATCGCTGTAGAGAACACAGTTACACTGCTCCACAGCTTAATGCTGGGGTACTTCATACCCCTCTAGCCTACACTTGGCATTGGATATAGTGACCTTAGGCTCATGTGCGCCTGCCTCAGAGCATCCTGTTCTGTTGTCAAGGCTTTTCTGTGGACTGGATACTGTACAAGCTGTGTGAAGCTGAATTCACTGATCAACTAAAGAAAGGGGGTCCACAAATTTTTAGCATGTAGTAAGAGGGGGGAATCAAGGCTTAGGCCGCACTCTAAAGTAGGCCTAACATTATGAAACTAATCAAGTCTCCACACTCGCATAATGTATGTAACCAATCTGGGCAGAGAAAAATTTGTGACTAAGCTTTTCCTTTTTAGTTCTTCTCTGTCAAATCCTCGAACACATAGGCTACGGCACAATACATGATTCATCGGGTCGTTATTAGCATTGAGGGGGTGCACCAATGGAAAGTGCACAGTTGAACGATAGCATTTTAAAGCTCATGGAAAGCGATTTAAATTTCACACGACTAGTTGTTGTTGAGTCGTAAGCAAATTTTTTAGGGATAGAATCAAAGTGCATCAAGACAAGCAGCAAAAAGTGCACGTTAGAGTTTCCACAATGGGTAGGCCGACCTGAATCCTTATATGACTAAATCACCAGGACAAGTTGACTAAAAATAAAACCATTTATAGGAAGGAAGATGATAAACTCAGCATGGTCATAGCAGCATACCACACAACCACAGCACACACTGGGTGCATCAACATCAGTGCAGGCAAGGATAGAGTAGCATGCCCTGTCATTTGCTGATCTCATGCCTCGTCGTGTGCATTGGTTGTAAGCACATGCATAGGTCATGTGCAAATGTAAATAGGTCACCGAGGCCAGAGTGGGGACTGGTCAGAGAAGTGCAGATATGAATGCTTATATATGGAAACAGAACACGTCACATACATATTGAGGTTTTTCCAGGCACTGATATTAGTGTGTGTGCGTATGTGTGGGCTATGTTTCTGCCGTTGAGGTGAAGAGCCTTCAGCTATGCGCTTCCGTTTTAATTTTCCTGTACAGGCCTCTAGAACACACTGATTCCCTCACTGGAAATGTATTTGAAAAGACTCAAAATCATCTTACCAACAGCTCTGCAAAACTTCCATAAGGATCAATACTCAATATACCACACATGAATCATGGGGGAAACCCCTGCAGTTTATGTGCTACGCCCAATAGAGCAGCGAAAGCTGTGAAAAGAATAGCTGGCCTTGGTTGGGTTAGTAAATGTTTCCGTAGTGGAGGGAGTTTTGCGTCTTTTGAATGTCCCCCATATTTCCATTTCAATGGATTGTATTTACCGCCAGAAAACAATCTCCATGAGAGTTTGTTCTAAATGCTAATTAGTTTCCAAAAATAGTATATGAAAAGAATGGTCATCTACACACAGAAGTTAACTGTCTTAGTCACATTAGTCATATTAGTCACACTGCAAAAAATGCTATCTCTTCAAGTGAAACTGCCTAAATCTATTCAGTATGTCTACTATCTCTTATTTTGAGATTGTTGTGAGCTTATCATACAATGATTTAACATATTCCTAGACATGCTTTACATGCTTAATCTGAAACTGTCTCACTATATTGGCAGATAATCTTGCTTGTTGTAAGAAATGTGTTTGAAACGGGCAATACTATCTGCCAATATAGTGAGACAATTTTACTTCTTAAAATCTGTTAAAACAAGTAAACAAGGTCTAGAAATAAGTTCAAAAATCTTATTAGATAAAATATAAGGTAATTTTGCTTGTAAAGATAGCATTTTTTGCAGTGCAGCCATGTCAAATAGGCAAAAATCTAAAGTTGTTTTTTCAGTCTAAAATGGTTCAGTTCTTGTTTTGTTTGTTTGTTTGTTTGTTTACTATCAGTGTCAGTACTTTGTAGTAAAAAGATTCTATCCTTGGAGTGAAAAACATGAACATGATTTTCATAACCAACTTGACCTAATTTTCCTGACATACACACACACACACACACACACACACACACACACTCCAATGTGCCTGAAGATCCTGCGCAAAGCATAGACATGAGAAACCATCTGAAAAACCCCAACGCTGTCCCATGTTGTCCCCCTGCGTGGGCTACTGATGTCACTTCCTCCATCATATCTACAAAGACCACCATCCCTTTCACTCTTAATCACGGGTCACCACCTCTATTATGGCAACTAATAGAGGAATGGAAGCTCAGTTCCAAAGGTGAAGTCCACTTAAAAAGGTGTCATATAAAGGTCATGAATCTCAAACTGAAACCTGAAATGCTTGCACTGTTCTTCATCACCTATGTTATTTTTTGGGGGGGGCAATTAGAAGAGCTGTGAGACCACCTAGTCTAAATCCCACTAAGAACAGGGAGTAAAGACAGTAAAGAGGCATTGACAGTAAATATCCAGGCCAAAAAGATGTGTATTATATTCAGGTCAGTGAACAAAACTGTTAAGTAAGTTTTACATGATTTTTTTTAGACTAAGCACAACTTTTTTGTTAGGTTTTAATCTGTAGTAGCTCACATTGACAAGACCAGGAAAATGCCACAACAGCAAAATGCCACAAATAAAGACAAGACCCACAGCTTTAAAAACAGAACAGACTGGAACGGTATTAACAGATTACAGTAATAAGTAATGTCACCTTCAAGTTAAAGGCTCCGTCCCAAACCGCATACCACCATACTAAATAGTAGGTTCAAAAGAGTACACCACCTTTAGTCCATCCATTAGTGTAGTGTGTGTAGTACAGCAGGGAGTAGTTTTTGGGCGCAGCTAAGGTTTTCTTGTTTTCTCTTCAAAATCATGACCATAAATGAGGCCTAATAAAAGAGGTAGCTCACGTATAGCGCAGAAACACACATAGGTTCATGAAATGTATTTATCATAAATTATTTGTAAATGATCTCTCTAATAATGGTGGTATTAATCAATGATTTAACGTTGATATTTCCTGTATATGTAAAGCCGACTCCCAACAATGTACATCACTAAAAAAGGAAAATTTGTCAGCTCCAAGCGCTTTAGTAGCACTTAGATGCGGGGAAGACACAAAAAACCTAGCACGAGCGCGGTAAAAAAAAGAAAAGAAAAATAGAAAAAAGTAAAATCCTATAGCACATTGTAAGTCGGACAGTAAATATACATTTCAGAAAAACTAAGTAAGGTGTTACTTGTTTAAATGATATGTACTGTAAGTACATAAACTGTGCAGTCGTTTTCGCTCTATACTGGGCGCCACTACAGTGCCGCCCTTCGGCCATGTGACCCTCGAGCTCGTCAGGAAACCGCCAACAGAGGTCTGTTCACTGGGCCACGTTCAGTTTGTAGACGACGCGGAAAACGCTTCTTCAGCGACTGCAGGTCAAAAATGGGTTTCTGTTTTGCTCTGAAACGTCCGTTTTATTTTGTACACCCCAGTCGTGTAGGAGGGCTGTAATAAAGCCAGAGAAAACGAGGAGGCAGTTTCGTTTACGAACACAAACTGCGGAGAGGCTTAGCTTAGCGTGGTTAGCTAGCTAGCTAACCTTAGCCGTTTAAACGTAAATAAACGTTAATAAGCTGAAATGTGGCGTAACTACAACACTGTCTTAATTGCGTTTTTCCCCAGACAAGCTTTCCTTGTAAGTTACCATTACATAGAACTCATTACAGAATAGCTGGCTGTAAAACTTAGGAGGGCGGTGCGGTCGAGCTAACGTTAGTGTTAAGAGTAGTTAACGTTAATTAATGAGTCAAACTAATTGGGACTGAACCAGATGTCAGGCAGGCCTACACACCTAAAATGATTCTGCAAGGTTTCTTCAGTAAAAGTAGTTAATGGTTCTGTTTAGTACCATGAGTTCTAACTATACAGAAACATTTCATGCGTAAATGGTTCTTTACGTGATGAAGTGACTCATCAGATTGACGGAGAACGTGCTGTATTTATATGGTTCTCTATAGCGTCGAAAACGGTTCTGCTATAGATAAAAGCTTAACATCGTAGCTTTAACAGTCGGAGAAGCGTTTTGGTGCTGTGGATAACCACTCTGAAGAGCTTCTGTATGGAACCATACAGGCTACAACACATTCTCCATCAGTCTGAAGAACATTTTACCATGCAGAGAACCATTTATGCATGGAGTGGTTCTAAGTAGAGTCTTTTCTAAGAGTGTAGGCACAATTGTGGGGTGTTCATATTAATTTTGCAAGCCATTTTTTTTGTCTAAGGTGTCAGTTTTTCTAATGTAGTTAGCGTTATGTTATTTATGTCCATTTATTGCATTGTTAAGACTTCAGCCTAGTTAAGGTGCCGACCTTATTGGCAGTTATAAAAAAAAGTATAAGTCGTTTGAAAGTCTTAAAGGGAAACTCTACCGATTTTGCCAAATTACTTAATCATTCAACCGTTTAGATGTAAACAAAGTCATTTAGAGTGGTTTGGTGTGAAATGCGCCTTTCTAGAGAAATTTAGAGTCAGCATTGTTCACTGTTATAGTACTAGGAACCAGACGTTTGTATGTTTACCCTGCAAGTATCACCATTTTATCCGCTATCCTAAATGACCAGTGACATTACATGTGTCTTAAAAGGTTTGGTAAATGGTAAAATAGTGCTAAAAATCGAAAAAGTATGTTTAATGGGTACCATTTTTTCCTTACAGCACCCTGCATGTACCCCTCAGCCCTTCATGCCTTTTGTGTTGTTTGGGTTGGTGGTGTTGCGTCACATGGTGTCAGCAAAACTCTTATGTGAGTAACGTTATTCATCAGAGGAGATGTATCACGGTTGCACCTTGCTGTCTTGCCCCATAAACTGGTGAGCAGAGTAGTCTGTTGTCGACACCGTCAATTTCCATTCGCTCTGGGTTCTTCTTCTTTGGCGCCAGCAGGTTCGGTCTGTCTCTAGTTCTCTCTGCCTTGTTTGCTCTTTCTTCGTCAAGCTGCTGCTTGTCATTTGTGTATTCTGGTTCAAATCGATATGGCTCTACGACATTTTGTAAACAACTTTATCGAAGGGCTCCACACACTTTGCCATCTTCCAAAAATAGGTGAGAAAACTATAAAAATAAACTGTAGACAAAAGCTGCTGCTGGTGTTGTGTCCAATTCAGTTCCCCCTCAAATTCATATATGCATTCACTGAACAATGCCAAGCAACACTGGAACTACGAAAAGGTTAAAAAAAGATTGAATGGCCATGTGTTTATACCCAATCCCCAATATAAATTCACCCAAGATGACACGGCAATGAAATTCCACGATAAATATTATTTTCAATTTGAGTAAACAGTCGTACTGATAATTCAACACCGATGTTAGATGTGTTCAACGGCTGTAGCTAGAGGCTAGTAACTACAAAGGCATGTTACCTTGCACGTATTGATCTCAGATGAGAATGTGGGTTTGAGAGGAAACAGGAAGTGGTCCTGGAGTAATAGTATGTATTAAAATATGTTTTAGTCCAAAACATTATAGCAAAACTATCACAAAACAATGTCTCAGGTATCAAGCAATGCATTTATAACCATTTTGTGTGATAACTTAATAGGGTGTAGTTTTTAGAGCCATTAAATGCTTTGGACATCTGGTTTCTAGTGCTATAATGGTGAACAATTCTGACTTGGTAAATTTCTCTAGAAAGGTCCATTTCACACCGAACCACTCTGAATGATTTTGCTTACATCTAAACCGTTGAAAAATTACGTAATTTTGCAAAATCGGTTCCCCTTTAAGTCACTGCTTGTATCCTAGTCAAGGTAGACCATTCCTCCTTAGTTGAGTTTTCTCAAGCAGAGTTTAGGAAAGTACTGCTCAATTAATTTATTTATAAAAATGTATAATTGTTGTTTTTTCAGTGTCAAAATGATGGGACGTGGAGGATCATACCGTGTGTCCAGAGGGGCCAGTTTTGCTCAAATCCTCAAGAAGAACATGGTAGCCGCACCTGGGTGCTCGTCTTTCGTCCTGCAGCCTGCCCCTGAATTCAGCACTAACACCAGCACACTTGACCAGGCCAACAACTCGACAGGCAAAATCAGTTCAGTTCCTTTTTTTTTATTTATTTATTTTTTTCTATTTCTCTTTTTCTCTCTCCCTCTCTCTCTTTTTTTATATATCGCTGTTGTCAGGGCAAAACCTTGTATCTCCAAAATTGTAACTTTACAGGAGAAAGAAAAAACATACTTTACTTTTAATGCAAGTCAATGGAACCAGACTTTTTTCCCCAAGTCATTCTGGGCCATTCATCATGAAATTTACACACAATGTAAAGATCAACAGATATTTTAAATTAATGTCAAAAACTGAAAAATGACAAAAATGGACATATGAGGTTTTGTTCCAACAGCAGCGATATGTGTAAATATATATATATGTGTGTACATGTATGTGTGTGTGCGTGCGTGCGTGCGTGTACATATATATGTGTGTGTGTGTGTGTGTGTATGCATATGCTTCTTTTTCCCTTGGTGAAACCTTGGTTTAGTGTTGTCTCTATATTCACCAGGCTCCAAACCAAAAAACATCCCTACAGAGCTGATCGACAGATACAAGCGAGGAGAGACTCATGCCGTCTCGTTGCTATACCAGCTCTCACAGGTGCTACAGTTCCAGGTGGAGATGAAGGAGACCGTTACTACGGGTAATTAACCTTTGCCATGGCTCTTTGTAGAGGTGGAACAGTACACAAAATACATAATTTGTTCTGAGACGGTGCAGTAGTGTATTATTTTTCCGATTCAATACATTATTCTATGCAGCAAAAATAAGAGCCTCAATTAATGTTTGTTTCCCATTTTCAGTTTTGAAGTGCATTTTTAGAACATCCAACAATTATAAAAGTACAAGTTCTGAAACAAAAGCTGTGTATTATACCATCCTGACCTAATGCTCTAGACCCAAGTGAACATGTTAACCCTTAGCTAAAACACTAGCTACAAGCTAACACAATAAGCTAGTCACAATACAACAATACAAAACGCTGTAGTACAGTTTGATATGATATGATACCTTATATTGTTACTTTTCTAATTTGTTTGTTTATTTGAGTAAGAGTGGGTCAGTTATATTTGATCAGAGACAACAATCTCATGTTTTTCATTTGTCATTTCAATGTGGTGTTTGCAGGACTTAACATCTCTAACTTGCTTTACAGTGGCCAAATGTGAAAAATGACATGAAGGCAACTCAAAAGAAAACCATGGATTTTTTGCTACTTTTTTGCTTTGCGTAGGAGGGATTGCAGGTTTCTACTTTGCATTCTGTGCTGTTATCGATGGAGTTGAGTATAAGACTGGGATGGGCATCAATAAGAAAGAAGCCAGGGCCAAAGCAGCGCAGTTGGCCCTGGAGGAGTTACTACCAATTCTGGAGAATGACGGTGTACTGCCAGATGCTTCTGGTAATCATCCTTCATTTTCTGGTGCAGATCCCTGGCCATGGCTATTTTACATTAATTATTTTAATCTTGTGAGTGTTTGCCTTAAATTCAGTTTCTTTTGTGCAGAAGTTATCAGCCGTTGTTACAGTGGAGTCGACGTTAAATTGCCTACTTTGTTATGCAAGCTTGGTTAATCACTTCTTGAGTCATATCCTGAGGTTTAAGATACAGAAAATGTTAAAGAGCACCATATTTTATTGTATTCCCTACCAATTCAAATAGTAGCATAGTAAAAGCTGAAAAGACCCCACCTCTCCAAAATGTACAATCATCCATGGAGCTTTGCTGATGCTTTTTCCAGAGTGTAGGGAGAAACAGACGTCAGTATTGGTTTTGTGGTTAAACAGAGGGAAACATATACTGATTCTTCAAGGAGATACCATTAGTTCACCTATCTAATGCAGTGTGCTTGATGTCTGACTTGTACAAAATGAATGTATTCTGAAAAAATCAAATTGAACAAATATGATAAGCTGTCTGTTAAAGCAGTCTAAAATAATAATTAGTGTTCTGAAAATTGAACACAAAGAATTGTAGAACATAGTGTATCATGTCATTTGCAAAGTGTTTATTAGTGCTTGTGTTTCTGTGTCTGTATGTACATGCATCTGTATGTCAGTGGGACCCCCTCCACTGCCGGTGAAAGAGAGAGACTACCCAGAGTCAGTGTCAGAGGCCCATCCTGGAAGAGCAGTGTTTGGTAAATTTACTTTTGTCACTTACTATAATTAACAAAGAGAGCAAGACGAAGAACATTCTTCATAGTATTGGGCAAGGTGGTGCTTCTGGCTGATTGTATAGATGTTTATTTTGTGTGTGACTTAGAGAGGAAGAATCCTATTAAAGACCAGGTGCCCGGTGCCATTAAGGAGATGTTCTCCAAGCTGATGGACAGTTATCCAGAGTTTTCTGGCTGCGGTGGAACAGTGGCTGCATTTGTTGCTCAGTCTCGTGAGTCTCCATTACCACAAAGAAAGTACAACCACTATATGGCATTATTAACAGCAGTGTTGATTTTTGCATATTTGTGTCACCTAACAGACCAAACTTATAGCTGCTGGTTCCTTTTCCTGTACATCTGACATAAAGTGTCATGTGGCTTCTACTAGTCTGATATAAATCTGCTCTGTTAGAAGGCGGTGATGCTCTTTTGGAGCTGATAAATGTGAGACAGTATGTTTTCAAAGATCCTGCAGTCATCTTATCTAGAAATAGTGTGATAAATATTAAGTTGATTACATTTGAAACCTAAGCCAAAAATGTCTTTTTTGAAGTGGATTACTATTGGCAAATTCTGCATTATCAGCAGATTTATTAAACTGAATATTGTTCGCAAGCATTTCCTAGTACTTTTGTAGTGATTTAATTACCTATAAAACTAATGATGCTGCAAGAAGTTGGTCTGCTTCAGTGGACGGTATGACAGTTATCTCACACTGGCTGTCCTGCATTTCTGTGCGAGTGCTAAACAGCAGAAAAATGAGTTCTCTTCTTTCAGAACACCTGTGCTCTTTCAGACTTCTAAGTATTTGGCCCTCACACTAACCTGACGAGCTGAAACCTTGCTCCCTGTTACTTCACATTAGCTCAGATGCTGGCCATGAGCCACTAAGAGTGGTGTGTAGCAAACTTGGTTATTTTTTGATTATTAGGATTTTAAAAGGATTTATTTGTTTTTTATTTATTTCACTTTGGCCTGCCAGCCAGGAATTGAGTACTAAAGGGGCATTAAATTTTAGTGCAGAATTTTAATATTTTTTATAGTAATTTTTCCTCAAAACTTTGTTTTGATGGTATAGAAGATTGATAATGTTCGCTAATTTTATGTTTATTTATTTTGTCGTGTTAACAAAACAAGAACACGGCATTTAAATGGGGGTGGGGGGGTGGGGACACTGGGGCAGCAGACAATCAAGACAAAGTGAGGAATACCTACGAAGCATAACGGCAGCCACAAGTACGTTCATTACCTGAAGCAAGAAGATCATTTACTTCTCTTCCTTATGCTGTATAAAGTCTAGGATATGCAATGCAAAACATTGCCAGGCTTTGGTAGTTGTAGGTTGTGCTAGTCTACATTCAAGGTTTACAATTTTAAGTAAATTTGATATCCAAAATGAATGCATGAGAGTCCCGGTTGTAATCAAGTTCTGTCAGATTGTTTTCTTAGCAGAGGTAAAGCCAACAAGTAACCTTTTACTTTGTATTAATCATAAACCAAGATGAGACATAAACTTGAATAGTGAATTTTGATTAAACCAGATAAAAAAAATTCACATGATTCCAAAACTTTTCGATCTCAGGACATTTCTAGAACATATGAAAGTGGGAGAGGTGGTATTATGTATGTGACAGTAATGTGGGTTGGACTTTCATTTGAAATGTTCTAAAAGATGCTCTGTGAATTGCATATAGAAGGAAAAGGTGATAAGCCAGATTTTTAAAGTTACGTTGAGATTAGACCATAATGTTTCTGAAAGTTTTTGTAGTGAAAGTTTTGTCCTGTGTGAGGCAAATAAAAGTTTTATAAAGGAATTACACAAGTCCTGTGTATTGTGTACGCATGATTTAAGAGCAGGAGTGTGATGATTAAAATAATGTCGTTGGTATTGGTATCGAAACGGTGGCTATGAAACAATGGTGTTGGTTTTGTTAACTTAATTTCACGCTGCTCACTATGTCACAGTGATCTTGGCACTGAACATTTGGTCATTTCTGAATTTGAAAGTAGGTTGGAGTTATGATTGCAGTATGAGTGAGCCTCGAACAGCCTACCATGGGCCACATTTTGTTGGTAGTCTCCTAAGTGACTGCAGTCCTTCTAGTTATAGAATGTCTGTCAGTAGCTGTCTATAACTCTTATTTGTCTGCAGTTTTATTTTAGTGTTGATTGTAACAGAGAGCAAAGGACTTATCTTTCTTGGCTGTATAAAAAAATTACCATTGTTTTCATTTTATTAATATCTGTGCAGCCCTGCCAAAAATATTGGGCATCTATGTTTGGAAACTATGCAGATTTCCACAGTGGTCAGTTTTTACATTTGGGCCGTTTCTGTGTGTGAAGTGGGCTCAGACTGCTGAGTCATTTTCTGTGTATATGTGAACACACCAAACGAACTAGGACCGCTCTAAATGGCCCCAAAAAATGTAGTTCATTTTGTGGTTCGATTGATTTGCGCTTTGTGAAAACAAAATGGCCCCAGTCCGCTTTTGCTTTACGGTGAAGACCTTGAGGCTTATCGTATGCACACAGAGTGTTCCAGCACTTCAGTGGGTAAAAACAGACCACCATTAAACATTCATAAGGTTCTACTCAGGATGAAGCCAATCTGTGATCTGTGACAAGACAGCAGCCCTGACATATTAAAGCGATAAGATGCAAGAGCCCGCGTGATGTTACCATATTAGGCTTATGCTGGGGGTGCATGCAACGGAGCTTTAAACTGCTTTCACACTGAACGCTGAATGAATGAAAATTTACCGCTGTTCTATCAAATACACTATTTCAGTGCAGATGCAGGTTTTCTCACGGGGAAGCTCAGTAATGAGCACAGCTGAAAGTGGAACCCATCGTGGCAGACGCGAAGGTCATTTTTCTAATTTTGCGCAATGCTTTTCGCCATGTTTCGGCAAGGCCATTTGTTTCGGCATGGCCAGCAGGAGAGCAGCAGGCGTGTCTGGTGGTTCCTCTCGCCACCTGAAAGGTTAGATTTATCACATGACGCTGCCCACTTTGCGAGCACTGCGCGCAGCATTAGCGGCGTGAAAGGGGTCTGAGCTCTAATGGAGTTGGGGTCTGAATGAGAAGTGGTCCGACATCTCAAACGACCAGAAGGAAAACTGAGTCCTCTTTATAATTCACTTACATTGTGAACACAAAACATCTGAGGTCATCTGCAGTTGGTTATCTTACGGGTTTGCTTTAACAGAAACTCAGAAATCTGTTCATTTAAAAAAAACCTGTATGTGAAAACACCCTAAGAGAGCCTATAATGATTGCATGTTGCTTTTTGGGGCTTATCATTACAGTAAAGAAGGAGAAATGGATTAACTTACATTTTAGTTGTCAGGAATTGGTGGAGAGCTTCTACAGCAGGTTAACACATTTGTTCGATGTAAAGATGGATCAGTGCCTCTGTTAATCTCTGTCCTGAAGAAAGAATGCAGTTTGCACAGCCAGTTAATTGTTTGGCCACAAGTGAAACAGTCTGCAAGCAGCTATGCAGTAAGTCTGCATAGAGAAATTAAGTTATACTGTGTGTATGGCAAAAATTCATAAAAGAAACATTAAATGCATTTTAAAACAATTAGTTGTTTTTTATGAAGGGTGTTGAATCTTTAATTAGTCTGTGCTACTTTTATATTTTCTATGTGCTTAACTAAATATTGTCCATGTAATAGGCCATCAAATAGGATGACAGAAGACCGTTAGCCTTTACGGTGCCAAACAACACATGAAAACTGAACATATTTGGATGAGTTGTCTGATATTTCAGTTGCATCCTTTTATTGTTGTTATTAATTATGCTTGCATAACATGTGCATATTTTGTACTCTGTCTCCCTACAGCGACTGGCTGTGAAGTGGTGGCTCTTGGTACTGGTAATTTTAACACTAAGGAGAGCCTAGCACCTAATGGACGTGTCCTTCATGACTCCCATGCTGTGGTGACTGCACGGAGATCTCTTATGAGGTCTGTTGTCATATTGTGTTATTTGCATTTCCAGTTGTCTGAGAACTTAAAGTAAACAATTTGCTTATCCTTTTTTTTCCAATTCCTGCATTGAAACTGATTTAGTTGATTTCTGCATTCTAGTCTTGTTAGAAACTGCAGAATGCATGCCAGTTTGGTTTTCTGTTACTTGGAGGTCTGTTTCTGGAGCACGTTTTAATTTAATGTTTTGTTTTCTTAGTCTTAATGAAATGTGTGCATGTAAGAGGTCCTGGTTGTGCAAAGATTTATCTTTTGTATAAAATAAATTATGCTGACAGGTTGAATCTTATATTTTTCAGCTACAAAGTTCATGTTTCAAAGTGCGTCAACTTTTGCCTCCTGAATTTTAATTAGAATTAATTGCATGTCATGTAACTATGAAGCAGTTGAATGTAATTTTGAATTGGTCTTAATATTTTGTAGGTATCTGTACAGGCACCTGTTATTGTTCTTTAGTAAGAATCGTTCTTTGGAGGAGAAGTCTATCTTTCAGCAGGATCAGAGTACAAAACTACTGAGTCTTAAGAGTCACATCACTCTGCATTTGTACCTCAACCAGTTGCCCAAAGGAGCTGCTCAAATACCTTCTCACCTGTAAGGACCCATACAACCACCCCCAGTTTTCGTAGTTTGAATCTCCATAGCATTAGCTCCCTGGCTTCAGCTAGAACCACATTCATAGATGTTCTGATTAACTTGCAATTTCTTTTCCTCACAGCTTCGCAATATAGCACCATTTGGTCATTAGCTTAAGCTCGCACTGTGGTAATACTAGGGGTGACGATTCTTAGATGCATTTTGATGCAGATGTGGACGATTCTGAATCGATTCACAAACGTCAAAAATCGATTTTCTAAATTTTTATTTAGAACGTAATGTTGACGGAACACAAAAGGCGGAACTTGGAAGTGCGGAGGTACAGCGCCAGGACAGTCTGTGGCAGCACATAACAAAAACACACGTGGATGAGCGATAAATCCAACCGGCACCCTCTGCGTTAAAGGCTAGGTTAGGTCAGGAGTCGACAACCCAAATGTTAAGAAGACCCATTTTGTCCTTTCAACAAAAATCAAACAACCTTGGGAGCCACGAAATTTAATGTCCAATTTGTCTCAGTATGTGCTAATGTCATAGTATAGTCCTAGTATAGTATCTCTGCCAGGAAACATTTCCTCAAAAGTAGAATAGTTTCTTGTAAAATGTCTCTGTATGTTTGACTGTTTTACGAGGCTGAAGTCTGCTCCTTATTCGCCAGCTTTTTTGTTCAAATTTTCCCGTTCCACCTTAAATTCTGCCAGAGGCGCCAGAATGTAAATGCGGCACCATTTAAGGTGGAACGGGAGAATTTGAAAGAGAAGCTGACTTCAGTTTCGCAACTTTCTAGTGTTTGTCAGTTTCTCATTGCAGATTTAGCGTACCAGGAAACCAACTGCAGTGCTTATACATGCAAATAAGTCCATTCGTCTGCAAATATTCGTCTTAAATCTGTCTCTTTGCCATTTCGTTAGCTATGAGCTAGGCGAGAATGTCTGTGTTGCTATGTGACCTGCAGTCTGCACGCCAACCTTCAGGGTTAAAGGGCGAATTAGCAGCGTTTAAGACTATCTATTGTTAAAACATTGTTAGAATGATGAGCACCAGAGCTGTAAAAGAGCTGTTTCCGACCCCTGAGCTAGCGTATGGAAGCACTTTGGCTTATATGAAGTTGAAGGGGAAAGGGGCCTGGATAAGAGCCATACTATATGCAAGTTGTGTCGCACTAAACTAAAATATTTTGAAAATGAAAAACATGAGAAACCATATTACACGTTTCCACCCGTTTCCATCTGGTTGTACTGGCTGCCAACCAGAGGACCATCGAGCAAGCGATGTCAAAGCTTCCACCCAACTCGGAAGCAAATTACAAACTCTGTTGCAGCTTTTATTGCCAAGGATTTGCGTCTGTTCTAAGTCGTTGAGAACCAGGGCTTTCCCGCTGTGTTATACAGCATCCCGTCTTGAAGATATTTTACTGACACAATGACCCCCCCCACACTTTCTACAATGAGAGCCTTCCAGTTCACTTGCCACATCACTTCCGTTTGTTTTATTAATAAAAGATATTGGAAGAAGATTCATTATGAATCGTTACAAATACTTGCGCTTTAAAAGTGAGAAAGAAATCCTGTATAGAAAAAAAGATGCATCGATAATCATTTTATAATTGCATCGCAGCCCTCTGAATTGTAATCGAATCGTGAGGTGCCTAGAGATTCCCACCCCTAGGTAATACCCAAGGCAGTAGGAGAAGAGTGTCAGAGGCATTCTAATTTTTTACTTGCAAAGTCAGTCACATATTGTTACTACTGGTTGACAGTTTGTTTCCTTGTGGTTTTATCCCATGCTTTCATTGGCCACTTTTATAGTCTGAGATCAGCGGTTCCGTTTACTGAGGAACCTGGACGCCCCACCTTTTGACAGATTACTCTTTTGTTACTAACATTTATATTTTTGGGTTGTCTTGGATGGTATTGTTGAGTGTAGATATTAGATTGTCATAAGTAATTTATCTCTCTCTTTCTCTAGTCGTCTCAACCCTTTGTCTATCTCGGCATGGGAAGTAAATAATCAGATCGGTCTGCATGTGACGATTGATGGGAAAGTCTTTTCTGTCTTCTCCTCTACATTTGAGCAAAGTGGTTCTCGTGTGGTCAGTATGTCTGCTACTGACAAGATCACACAGTGGCAGGTTTTGGGTTTCCAGGGGGCGCTGCTGAGCCACTTTATTGAGCCCATCTATGTCAGTAGCATTCTCATCGGTAAGCCCACACCTCACTTAAAAGAACCCAAGCAACTTTGTCTTTCTCAACTTTTAAAGATAAACCTTCTCAGTACCATGCTGGTACGCTCATACACACAGCTAGAATGAATGTAACCAGTGAACTGGAGTAGCAGTGTAGGTTCATATAATCTTATGCTGTTTTATGTATGTTTTTGTGTATGAAGTTTGTGTGGTCTGTATACTTTGCACTCTTGCCTGTAGCATGTGGTTTTCTATTTATTTTTATACTTTGTGTGTGTCGTTTTAGGCAATGAGAGCTGCAGTGATACTCGTGGTATGGAAGTAGCGATAAGTCAGAGAGTGGATGGCATCACCTCCAAGCTTCCCATGTACTACTGTGTTTACAGACCACACATTAGCTTGGTGCCCTCAGTGGTGACCACAGATGCACATAGCACTCCAAAGTCTTTCAGCCTCAACTGGAGCCAAGGAGATGTCTCACTTGAGGTTGTTGACAGCCTGGAGGGTAAAACTGTAGATGAGTAAGTATTTCTCATTGTTTCCATCAGTCCATTTCTGTGTGAGGATGTTTACATTTTGGACCAAAAGCCACAGTGACATGTAGATGCCCAAAACAGTATTGTGGTCTGCAACAGGCATCTTTGTTCCAGGTGTAAAGTCTTTGCGATACAGCTTAAGCGCTGTGTGTGTGTGTGTGTGTGAGAGTGTTTATTGCTGCGCAAACCGCATAACAGGGAATTAAAATAGACCTTTTCCTCAAAGTGAGACCAAAACAAATTTATAGACTGTTCAGTCTGAGAGTCAAAGGCTTTTACTCTACTGGTTTGTGACTAATAAGTAGCTGTAAGTATAACCTCTCAGTTGGGTTCTTCATTAAATGAGGTTCCCTAAAGCAGTGGTTGCTAACCCTGAAGTACCCTTGCACTGCATGGTTTTAATGTTGTCCCTGCTCCTAACAATCCGTACTCAACTAATTGGGTAAAGCCCATCACAAGGTTGTGGACAGTAAGTGTTCTAAAGTAATAACTTCCTATCCATTTTATTAAAAATTATTAAAAAAAAATGTGCAGCAGACACTAAGCCTTCGGTGATGAGCGCAATGAGGTAGGGAACACATGCTATAGGTTTACCTTTTTGAAAAAAAAATGCCTTGAAGCTTGTTGTTAAGGACATGATTGAGAAGGCCTGTGTAGCACAGCTTTATTGCTAACTAGGCTGACCACTCTAGCTGATGTTAGTTCGGGCCAGAAACTGGACCGTGAAAATATTTCTCTGAAAAATTAACGTGTTACCACACATACTGAGGAGAAAACACCTTGTGTAAGTCCTCATTAGCAGCCAGTGTTGTGCCAGTTAACTGTAGTTTTAGCTCACACCTGAAGAGGCAGCCTCCGTTACTCATCCAACATGAAAACTACAGATTTTCCTAGTTTTTTGAGTAATAAAACATGTTTTCAGAAATATTCTTCTGCTTGCTGCTAAATATGTGCTACTGAGTTTTTTGCCTTTTAGCCACAGAGCTTGGTTAAAAGGCAAAGTCGTGGGCTGGAGGTTAGGGAAGGTTGTCGGTTCGATCCCCTGAGTCGACAGTACATGACTGAGGTGCCCTTGAGCAAGCTCCCCGGGTGCTGCGGAATAGGGCTGCCCACCGTTTTGGGCAAGTCTGCCCCCTGGTGTGTGTGTCCACTAGTGTGTATGTGGTGTCTCACTGCACGGATGAGTTACATTGCGGAGGTGAAATTTTCCTGCTGTGGGACTAGTAAGGGTCACTTAATCACTTAATCTTAAGCTATTACCTAAGAGTCTGCCTCCAGCCATACGATAATTTTGGTCAAAGTACTAATTTTCCTTACCCATGGTTAACCGAACTTCATTTCATGAACTGTTTCAGATATTTGAATATCACATTTAGTTGGAATGCACATCCCATGGGCATTTTGAAGTGTGGACATGCTGCAAAAATCACTAAATATTTTGACTCACGGGTGCTTGCTTTAAATCAAGCTGCATGCATACACAGAACAGAATTTGGGACAAATTAATGCACATACAGATTTCTGATTGTTTGAGTTCAGTTTTTAGTATCTTTATCAGCTGACTGAGCAAAAATAAAAAAAAATGGCAGACATTTCTGAAAAAGGACAGCAATAATTTTTTTTTTTATGTAGGGCTTACATAAAGGATCCGTTCACCTGCTGAGGGGCTCACAGTTAGGCTTTGTTTACACAGCAGGTAAAAGTGGCCCAAATCTGATCTTTTTCCTCAAATGTGACACAGATGTGTCATCTGTGTGGCCGTGTGAACAGCAAAAAACGCATTGAATCTGACATTTTCAATTCTGATTTGAGACGCTTTCATATGTGGTACTGAAATCCAATACATATCCTATCTGAACAGCCAGATTGGAATTCATGCAACTTTTTTACATCAGTACAACTCGACATTCGTCATAATTTCGCGCTGCTGAGACTCAAACATTTAGGCTGATGTTTCTGTACCAAAACATTAGAAGAGACTCATCGCAACGGCTCCGTGTTCGAGGAAATTTCGAACGAAACAGCCGAACATGGCCGGAGGAGACCGAGGCTGCAGAGAACAGTTTAAAGAATCCAAGGACATGAACCAAAGAAGTGGCCATGGCCGAATAACATGCCCTTTTTCGGCGAACTCAAACACATTGTGGGTGATGAGTCCAGCTGTCAACCTCTGGAACTTTATACTCGCTCATGCAATGCTGGCGAGGACAAAACTGAAAGCTCCGGAAGCGACTGGCATTCGCTGGCCGTCATGACTGTTTACCTCTGGACGAGCCGCCACGTGAAGCACTGTTCTTTTGCACATGCGGGTTGGTTTAGGAGCGTGATCTGTTCAGACTGATGTCGCATACAGGTCACATTTAAAAGTTAATGTGAACAGCCAAACAAAAAAATCAGATTTGGGCCACTTTTACCTGCTGTGTAAACGTAGCCTTAGAGACTTCAATGCATGCAGCACCTAAGCAGGTTTCTTGCTCGTTTAGGAGAGGGTGCACTCATGTCTTGCGTTTGTTGTGCATATTAAAGCCTTGTTTTTATTATTATAATTTTTTTTGTTGTGCTCTATTCAGTAGTGACAATCATACATTTAGGTCTCACACAGTTGGCCAACATACAAAGGATTGGACAAAGTCCAACAGGGGGTCCAAAGTTTCCAGAATTTGTCCATTTGGTGACGTAGGTCTTAGGTCAGTTTTTCCAAAGGAAGCAGAGTTGCAGCTTGAGAAAGCCACTGCTCAACAGATGGTGGAGAGGGGCTGGCCCATTGAATTAGGATGCACTTTTTTGCAAAAAATGAAAACTTCTGAAATCGTGTTTGAAAGATATTTTGAATCGTGATGTGTACTCTGTCTCAGAAAATGCCCATTTTTTTACACTGCCAAAAGGCATGAAAAAACCCTTCTTCAGCTTAACGTTTAAAGCACTTACTAGATCCGTCAAGAAACATCTTTTGTAGGCGAACAGGTGTGAAGTATATCCCATTCATGAATTGAATGAAATGAAAAAATATCCTTCCGTATCCACAAGGCATGTGCAAAATAAATCCCGGAACAGAGAAATCCCGGGCACAAAAAATATGCATAAAAATGTGCCGTGTCCTGTTGAAGGCCTGAGAACGCCGCAACGCGTCGTTACATTTTTATACATATTGCCATGTTTCCATAAAGGCTTTTTATACTTTTTCTAAGGACAGTGTGCCTGGGATTTCTCCAAGCGTGGACCTCTGTAACACTTTCTGTTTGTTCAGTTATATAACAGCATTAAGCAGTTGTTGACTGGTGTGCGGAAGGAGTCATTTAGACAGAAATTGCTCTTGTGGTTTGCTTTGCATGACCTTATCTGCAGCTTCTACTAGAATCTCTTTTCTTTTTTCAGATTTTACTCACCCGTGTTTTGCCTATGACCTGTGTACGATCAAGCATCAGGAAATCAATGAAAAACTAGTAAAGACAGAATTTAAAGAACCCAATTCCCGTATCATTACAAATTACTCGCACCCCCTAAAGTTAATATTGAGAACAGTAAGTTAAGCTTTGCTTTACTGAAAGTAAAATCAGTAAATAACAAATTGTTTCTAATTTGAGATCTTTTATGTTTCTTAAGCCAGGCATACACTGTGCGATTTTAGAAATCTTGTTCTTTGGTGACAGCTCACACTGTACGTTTGAATCGCCCCTTGTGTACGACCAAAGCCTGCGATTTATGTGCTCACACTGTACGAAAACACTGGGTCTGACTGACCTGACGTGACATGGGTGCTCACACTGCACGTGAAACGCAGCCCCTACAGACAGCTCTGTGTACAATGAAGCTGTTTCATTCAAAACACACTGCGTCCCCAATGTCCTGATCAAGACACTGGCTGAATCTCATATTGCTCCCTGCTCCCTACCTAGTGCACCACATATTAAAATAGTGGCTCCTACACCCATAAAGTGCATCACATGTCTAATAAATAGCCTTCTGAGATTCAGGCATGTGTGCACAGTTCTATACTGGACAAACAGTGCACTTTTTTGGTGTAGAAGCCAGAACTTGGTGCACTACATAGGAAGTAGGGAGCCGTTTGAGAATCAGCCATTGACAAACTGCTACAGCAGCTTTTGCTAACTTGCGCCACACTGTGCACTGAAGCTGAAGAACAGGCGGTCTATAGACAGCTCTACGAAGACAAAAAAATCTCTATTTATTTATACCTCTCAATTCAACTCAGTCAGATGGAGCAAAGTCATCATATACGGACGCTGGTGCCACAAATGTGGACTTTTTTGCCTCCGTGCAGGAGCGGTGGTTGTGGCTGTGTGGTTTTGTGAACTACTTTGAGAAATCGGTTCGTGAGGCAGCTCACGCTGTGAGACAAGCGACCAAAATTTCAGAAATCCATCTGATCGTCTGATTGCTCAGTCGGAGCTCGTTTGGGCAGTTAATCGGACATTGTTTCCTCTCTCACACTACATGTATATAACACATCTATCAATCTGTAGAGCGATTTCTCCATGCAAAGAATCATTTAACCATGAAATGGTTTTATATAGAGCTAGAGATGCGACAATCTTGGTTTTTCTCTTTTGATAACAATTCTGATACTGATTCCGATACCTGTATCGGCTGATACTGAGTACTGATCCATCAGTGCATTTAATTCCAAATTCTGTATACTTTACTGTGTCTAACACGAGGATGTATCTACAGCAGAAGATAATAATAAAAATGAATATAAGAATGAAAAACAAGAATGAAGTATTATAAAAACTTTGTTATTAGTATTCTTCTGGATGATGCAACGGCAAAATAAACAGCAGTTATAATTCCGGCGAAAATCGGTGCATCACTGTATAGAACTCATGGAACCATCTTGTTTTAAGCATATAGCATTTCTTGAGTACCCTTGTCAAAAAAAAAGAGATGACATTTGAAAAGTCATGATTTTTCATCTTTTCACCTGTATTTTGTCTTGCTAAAAAATGTCTTGCTGGGTAGAGGAAAGGCTTTCCTGGATCCCAAGGATTGCAGTTTGTTATTCCCCTGGAAGTGTTTTCAAGCTACTGACTACTCGTCAAATTACACCGGGTTGTGCCTGGACACCTGACTATATTGACCCACTTTTAATTACGTTGATGTGTTCTTCACATTGTCATTCTATTTCAGAATTTCAGATGCCAAAAACTCCATAGCTATTTGAAGAACAAGAAAATGGTTATTGCAGTTAAAAATACTCAGAAGTCTGCCTCTCATGTCTGGGTGCCTGTATGTGACTGTACCTTTTTGCTTTTTGGAACTCCTCGTAGAGCTTTAGGGCTGATGATAAACAGTTTGATTCAAAGGATTTTGTGTAATCTTGGTATAGGAGACACCTTGCTAGGTGCAATACAATTGTAAAAAGACAGTTTCTCAGACTAATTGTTCCCTCAGATATGAAAATACACATACAAATTTGAATTTTCTTCAGGAAAAAAAATAAGCAGAGATATTAAAGAAAACCTTTTTTCTTCACCCACACAAGTAGAATCACGAACAGGAAGTGGTTTTTGGGTTTTGTGCATGGACTGGTTGAACCAAAACATCAATCGTTTACTTCCTGGCTCCATGTTAGCAATAGGTTGAGTCATCTGCATGCATGTAATAGTTGCTGAGCAAGCCAACTGCTGTGTAGAAGATTGTAACACGTGTTAAGAGTTGTGGTGAATGGTGAACTAAACTTAACGTGCCATTGTGCACCAATATGCAGCAAACAAAGCCTGACATCATGCTCACACCCAGTAATAGATAAAAGTTACAGTAGACCAAAAGCATGAATGGCTTATAAACCTTACCTTATTCTGCTGTATTGACATGATCACAAAGATTATTGTAATATTGTGCATCACAGCTACAACTCATCCAATTCCTTATGGCAGTGTTTTGGAAAGAAGAAAAATCACACCTTCTGATGTCTATCCACATAATTACCCAGTGTTTCCCCTCTTGTCTTTTTTTTTTTTCTCCTTCTCCTAAGGCGGGGTGGTAGACACTTGGATATTACCAGTGTTGCTGTGTGCATGTGGTGTCAACAAATGCATGTGAGGCCAAAGTAGCATCATGGTGCAGAATTTTTTTTTAAAATATGGTGAATATACCATACTGGTGAATACAGTTATGCTCTTTATTAATGTGTTTTCAACATGTGTAACTGTGGTTGATTAAAGTTTATAGTCTTATGTTCATAGTCTTCATAGTAAGATACAGTAAGAGAATTCCTATGCAACTGAATGCTTTGCATTTCATACTAACCAAAGAATAATTTGCATACAGTTCTGTAGAAATGTATAAAAATGGTGTAAATAGTTATTTAAAGCAACGCTAAATGCTCTTTGGACTCTAAAGTCTATATTAAAGCCAAATAGGTGTTTCTGATGAGCAGAGCTTGAATAATAACAGAAATTTGATTGTCTGCAAACATTCAGTAAGTGGAACTCCTGCTGGTTTTATTTATCAATAAAACAGCAAAGATGAAATGTTTTTTTGACACTGTATTTTGTTAAAACCACCCCAAACTAATATTTCAATGGCAGAAAAGCTTTGTTCCTTTAAGGACCAAGAAAGTCTATGATTAAAGCTTGCCTATGACTAACTAGAGCAGAGACATTACAATAGGGTTAGCTAAGTGCTGCTCCAAAGCAGCTCATCTCTGCCACACACTGCTATAGCACACTGTTATATCAATGATCGGGTCTGTGCTAGACTTGAGATCTGACTTTAGTGCATCTTTACATTTAAAAGTAGAAGTAGGTGTATATTTAGTAATTTGGTGTATTGCAACGTTAAATGCACATGGTAACATTATCGTGGATACTTTGCAATTCTAATAGAAATTCTCATTGCAAGTGTATTTGATAAACAGAGTTTTCCACATTAATCCCCGTTGTATGTTGACTGACAGGGCATGTTCATGACAATGAAGTAAAATAACGCTGTATATGTTGTTTTTGTGTTGGTAAAATATAGGTTCTAGTAGTTTGTTCCATACTGTATACTGCAGGTTCACAGCTCTTGGTGTTCTGGGGCAGGTTCTGAACTTCAGTCATAACTGATATGTCCTGTATGATTGCAATTGATGCACAGTGGGCATTATTATGTGTAGTTTTTTTATTTGTGATTGTTTTATTGTAAATATTGCACATACACAGTCGTAGCCAAAAGTTTTGAGACTGACACAAATTTTGGTTTTCACAAAGTTTGCTGCTTCAGTGTTTTTAGGTCTTTTTGTCAGATGTTTCTATGGTATACTGAAGTGCAATTATAAGCATTTCTTAAGCTTTTTTTATCTTTTATTGACAAATACATCAAGTTTATGCAAAGACTCAATATTTACAGTGTTGACCCTTCATTTTCAAGACTTCTGCAGTTCACCCTGGCATGCTCAATATCAGCTTTTGGGCCAAATCCTGACTTATGGCAACCCATTCTCCCCTAATCAGTGCTTGGAGTTTATCACAATTTCTGTGTTTTTGTTTGTCCACCTGCTTTTTGAAGATTGATCACAGGTTCTCAATGGGGTTGAGATCTGGGAAGTTTCCTGGTCATGGACCCAAAATTTCAATGTTTTGTTCACAAAGCCACTTAGTTGTCACTTTTGCCTTGTAACATGGTGCTCCATCATGCTGGAAAAAGCATCGTTCATCACTAAATTGCTCCTGGTTTGTTGGGAGAAGTTGCTCTTGGAGGATGTTTTGTTCCCATTCTTTATTCATGGCAGTGTTCTTACGCAAAACTGTGAGTGAGTCCACTCCCTTGGATGAGAGGCAACCCCACACATGAATGGTCTCAGGATGCTTTACTTTATGACTCACCTTCTCTTCTCTGGACAATCCTTTTGATGCAAAGCGATGATGTGTTTCCTTGGAGGTAAGCATGGTTAACAGAAGATGACAATGATTTCAGGCACCACCCCCACTTTCAAAGCAACCAGTCTGCTCTTCTAATTCAATCAGCATGACAGAGTGATACCAGCTGCCTTGTCCTCGTTAACACTTTCTCCTAAGCTAACCAGAAGATCACTGAAATGATGTTGGCAGATCATTTTGTGGCAGGGCTGGAATGCAGCAAAAAAGGGGTTTTTGTTATGTTAATTTTCATTGCAAGGAGTGGCTTTGCAATCAATTGCAATTCATCTGATGACTCTTCATAACAATCTAGAGTTAATGCAAAGTGCCACCATAAAAACTGAAGCAGCAATTTTTGCAAAAACCAAGATTTGTGTCAGTCTCAAAACCTTTGCTCATGACTGTATACCCAAAAACTGACAATTCGGAACATGTCTTTATAACAGTAAAACCTTATTTATTTTTTATGTGATATTGTAAAACATACAGCTGAGGCAGCTGAGTTTGGCAAGAAAATTGTAACAAAAGCTGGCGAATAAGGAGTGGACTTCAACCTCATCATTTAGGCAGAAAGTGAAACACTATAGTAAAGTTAATGTTGGTTGTTTTCCACTGATAAACACAGCATTAGCTAGCTTCGAGGGTAATCTAATTTAGCAGTGAACATCGTTATAAGCTGCTGTAAGCAATGTTGCCAGAGAATTTTTAGAAATGAAGAGCTAGGGAGAACAGATAGGGCCATTGTTTGTTTATTCGCTAGAACTGCCACACTGTTTCAGAAATAAATCTACAATCAAGTTTGTCAACAGCGTGGCCTGCAGATTGTTGCCTGACCACTCTGGCTTTCACGTTACTGCAGCAAAAGCAGGCATGGCTGACATGAATGTTGCCAGGCTTATTTAGGCTAAGAGGAGAAGTGATGGGGATATTTTTACCATTACTTAAGTAATGTATTTCAAAGTACGTAACCACGCTCATAATACAGTTGAAGAATCTGTCTTCTGTCTCTCTGTTTTGTTTTATTTATTTATTTTTTTTTAACTTCTCGTTTATCGGTCGTTATGAACGCTCATGCCTGTCGGGCTCTAAGATCTTTGTGTTTTCCCATTGAAGTCTTCAGTAATGTACTCGTTTCTTTGGAGTTGATAGTATTTTTACACAGATTGTGTCTGTCCTGTGCGTCTGTTGATGTTAATTATACTTGCTTGACTTGAATGCTGAATTTCTCAAAGAAAGAAACCATGAGGTCTACTAATTCTATGTACTGATGATTTTATCTGTGGGCTTATTTTTGCAGTGTACTTCCCTGATTGTGTTGAGACAGTCATTATTATCTTGGGCATTTCTATTTTTTTTTTTTGTGTCCATGGCTTTCAGGTCTCCTTTTAAGAGTGGCCCTGCTCTCGCCAGTCGTCTGTGTAAGGCCGCCATGCTGAGTCGTTTCAACTTGGTAGCGAAAGAGGCGCAAAGAGAGGAGCTGCTCGCTGCCATTTCCTACAGGGAGGCCAAGGTATTACACCATATCTGGGGTAGTTGATATTACTGACTAAATAACATCAGAATTATTGGCAACCTTGGTGTAGATGACCAAAAAATGACAATAAGCTTTTATTGCTTGTGTATTTTTTCTTTTTGAAACACAGAGTAGCAGCTTTTGTTCACTAGGGGTGTAACGATTGCTCATAATTGGATTCCATTTACGATACGATTTGATTCTCCCGATATTGTAAGCAAAATTTGAATAAAATAGAATAATAGACTTTTTTTATTTCTGAAGTGTGATCATTTTTATACCAGTAATCTAGTCCTCTGCAATAAGACAATTACTAGGAGCAAAGGTTTAAATTCGTAAAGTGTCATATTGTAGCTTCACTATTCACTATATCTTGAATAACCAAGTGAAAACATTCCTTTTTTATTTCTGAAGCATAACAATATAAAACAATGTGTACTTTTCTTATATAATATTTTAAACAAAGAAAATTTTTAGTCTTCTGCATTTAAAAGAAAATTAAGAGGAACAAATTGTATCGGTATCAGCTCGATACTATGCCCATTTACTTGTAGTTCATCTCATAAAACGGCACCGATACCAACCTCAGATACCAGCTGAGATAACCTGTGAGATAAGGTTAGTGTACACTGCCGCACTAATGAACAAATGACTAAAGCTAGCAGTGAGCGAGAGTCTGCATACACAGTGCAGTTTCTCTGCCCCCATGGAGGTCAGATGCAAAGTGGCTGGTCACTTTCAACATGCTGCCTTGGCATTATATTCCTGTCGGGAGTACACTGATTTAGTTCATTTTTAAACACACACAATCACAACCGCTTCCCTAATATGGGTGGAGACACACAGGCTATCAAAATTAAAGCTAAAAAAAAAGGTTGACATCTGTGTAATTTTACCTTGTTTGGCTGAATAGAATTACGAGGTATAAACGTTAATAATTTTTTTTAAACTGTGTTTGTAATGTAGGGTGCAGAGAGAGCATATTGTCCTACTGTGTATATTTCAGTGCGCAATGTGGTTGGCAGAGCTAAACTGTGTTGTAACTCTAAGTTTCTCTGCGTGTTTCCTCAGTTCTCGGTGTACAGCATGTTATTTTGAATGAAATTGCTTTATTTATAACTGTCCACAGGTGTAGGGGCTGCATTTCACGTAGCATATCAATTGAACCGAGTGCTTTCATACAGTGTGAGCATATAATCATAAGCTATGTCCATACTTGATGGTCTATTTAAACATACAGTGTGAATCACCAAAGAACAGTATTTCTAAAATACATTCAACTACAGCTCAATCAGCCAAAAAAAAGACCTCAGCAAAACTTAAAGCTCCACAAGTGAGCTCCTTAGATTAGCCTCGGATGTGAGTCCTGCTGCCTGTGCTACAGAGACTTGTTCAGAGATTGATGAGGAGCATGAAAACAAAACTATGAATCATACTTTACTTACAGCTGTACAGAAGCGTTTTTCTGACGTGGACCGCAACCTTCTTTTCTTCACTCCAATGCTATTTGATGCAAGGTAAATAACTTAGCATAGCTAGCTAATAAATTACATTTAAAATCAGTTCGATTTTAACACATTTTTATGCATTATGGTATAAGACTCAGTACAGACAAGTACTGAAAAATACATGCTCATACTTGTAATCGGTTTGATAAAAATGGAATAATGCAGCAAATAACAATGAATAAAAAGTGCTGATAAGCTGGACTAGGTGCTGATCATTTGCATTTTTAAAGGATAATTCCAGTGAAACTTACCAGCTTAGATGTCTTTACAGCGAATCCTGTCACCACCATTGTAAAGACATTCTAGCTAGTTAGTTTCTCTGCCATGCAGCATTTTACACAAAACACATCTGAATGACTGTTAACATCTCAAGGATTGAATTACGCATGCTTCCTGTTTGTCAGTTGTCTGACTGTACTCTTTTTGACAATCTAGATGATGGCAAAGCCATACCAGGAAGCAAAGAGTGTGCTGAAGTCATACTTGGCCATGAGGGGCTACGGACAGTGGGTAGAGAAACCGCCAATCAGCGATCACTTTACAATGTGAAATCCACAGGTGAAAATTACACTTCTGAACTACCTTTGGAGGACAGGTTTGAAAACTCAAGAAATAGTTCATGTTTGCCATAGAGCAGCTAGCAAGTTAAGTTAAATCCTCCTCACATTGTCACAGACAGAAGGTTCTCCATTGTGTTAGAGATCTTAAGATTTTTTGTGTTTTCTTTGAAATGAGTTTGGAGTGTCGGCTTTTTCTGCTTTTCATTGCAATTCCTAGGGATGCACCCATATGGGAATTGTGGGTTGAGACAGATATATCCTATCATTTTCTTTGTACATATTTGTTGATTCCAATACCAAAACAGACATTGATAAAAGGTGGAAATTGGGACAAAATCTACCTGAATACAATAAAATGGATAAAATGCAGCACTGGGCCAAGTTCCGCTTTTGCAAGGTACAGTAAATGTCGTAATATATTGATTTGAAATGTCAGAATTAGAAGTCAGTAGTCAGAATTAAACATCTGCCGCATGCTGATATGATTCCAATGTCTTTCTGCATCCCTAGTAATTGTTTCACTTTTTGTTAACTGCTGTATTTTTTTTTTATTTTTTTAGTTCAAGGCGCTTCACCTGTGTAGAAACAAAAATAATCATTCAAAGTAAATGACACTAAAATTTACAAAATAAAATAAGTTCTTAGGTTAAGCTTGGAAATTGGTCCATCATTACAAGTTTATATTAATTAATCTCCAGAGCTTCCGTCTTTGAATTCATTTAAAGCCAAAGTTGTTTGCACCTTATTTGTGGCATTAGCTAAAAACGCTACAACTTATAAGTTGGTTCTTTACACCAGTACTATCAGTGAGGAAGTGATGGGATAGGTTTTCATTTATGAAGTGATGGTGTTAGTTTCAAAAGGTAAGGGTCTGAGGTGAGAGTGCGTCCTCTCTTGTTACTAGTAGTACACAGGAAACCTCAGGGCTTCCTGTTAAATGTGAGACTGCGACTAGATGCATGAATATTTGTATGTGTAAGAGAGGGACTGAGAGACAGGATCATAATCTTACTCCTGATGCCATGTGAAGGAGAGTTGGGCATACACAAGCAACTCTGAAGATTTTGGATTGTATATTACTAACCTCATTTTCTGTATGTACCTATTTGAACTTTTTCCAGAGGCCCTGTAAATTTTTGGTTTATGCATGCAGATTTCCTTAAGGTTAGTGCCAGCTCTTAGTGTGCAAAGGCAAAGGAAAACGCCTGCATGACAATATTAGGAGAAAAGAATTGATGTTCAGATAGTTAAAAAGCTCAAAGATGCTTCATGAGAAGGAATTGTCTCTATGAGGTTTACTGAATTGTTTGACTGTTTTTAGGCTTCAAATGCCCTAAATTTAAGCTTTTGTTAGTAAAAATCCTGATCCTGAGATCAGCATCACCACTTAAGAGCATCTGCAAGTCAGAAACACAATAGTGTGGTTTTATATTTTTAAAACCTGTTTAATGTTATCCTTTGTTGTCTGTGAGAGGGAAATATATGCTGAATTATGACTCAGTTTTGTGGTATTGTCACAGTTTGGTACAGGAGCACCTATTTTGGCACTAAAATATACCTACAGGCACTGACTTGGGGGTTAGCTTGTTTTCCCTGAAAATATGGCACTCACTAGTGTTGTAGACAGCTGACTAGAATGTAAACAAATGAGACCTACTTCCTCTAGTGCTAACATAGACTTAATTTCATTTGCAGCAATAGTGTTGTATTACTTTCGATGCACAGGCTTAGAAGTCCAGTCACACCTTAAAGTATTCTTTACATGAACTCATGATGACTAAAGAACTTTGCAGTGAGAGTCATTCTACAAGGACAGTTTATACCTCATGTATAAGAGGTGCAGACACACAAAGATACTCTATAAGTGTGATCTTTTCTTCATGTGAAATTAACTGAGAGTAGTTAACCTGATATGTTTGTAAGTTTACTTTTGGAAATGAGAACTAGAGAGAGGAACCATGTTGTCATGCTAATTGACTTTTTTCCAGACCTAAATCATCTAGCTAGTTAAAGCTCCACACTCTTGGGAAAAACTGCTCAGAGTGATGCAGAGAAAGCAAAACTTGTAACAAAACATCACACCCACACTTTTAACCTGATATATAGATCTGACAAACAGCTCCATTGAGAAAGGGTAAGTTTTGTACTGCCTAAATGCCATTGTGATGTAAGTAATCTTAGAGAATGAAGTTGTTGACTGGAAGCAATAAAAAGTGCCATGTAAGCTATAAAAGGGGTAGTTAGCTCCCTATTTATAAGCCATACAATATTTTACCACTTTCTCTTTCATCTTCCACTATGTAGTTACGCAATAAGCGGTTGTGTTTAGTGTGTGTGTGTGTGTGTATATATATATATATATATATGTGTGTGTATGTGTGTGTGTGTGTGTGTGTGTGTGTGTATATATAAACATATATATATATAAATGCTGAATGCCATTTTTGAAAATGCTGTTCTTGGGTTGTCCGCTTTGAGACACACTTGTTAAACATCTGTAGGCTCTATCTACTGCAATAAACACAAACTAGTTCACGATTGTTGTTTTGTTGCTCTGTTTTTTTCTTTAAGTTGTAGCTCCAGTGGTGCTTTTACCAGCTTTATAGGTAGCTGTGAATTTCTGTAATTAAGTTCAGTGGACTTTTTTTTACAGCATCTTTGTGTTATATAGACAACAACTCATAAGTTATGTTGCTACGTGTTGGCTGGACGTAGGATGGTTGTTTCCCCTTTAGTCCCTGGGTCACAGCTTTTAGGCGTTCAGCTATCTCTGTACATCTTTTTGAAAAAAAAGTAGGGCTGAGGGGATTAAAGACTGCAGAGATGGTGTCCTACATTACAACCACAGTAAATGTGGTGCTGAATGTCATTATTCGTGGTCAGTGTGATTAGAATGGAAGTTTGTCTGATGATGTAGAATGAGTAGAAAGAAAAAGTTTGTGTCCAGGCATAGAAAAGGTGAGCATAAGTGAACCGTAGGTTGCTGGTAAAAGTGGGTGAAGGTAACTTTTTCCATGCTCGGGAGCTGTTTATAGCCACATACTACCATTCTGTGACCTAGGGACTTCCCTTATGAGGTAACTCTAATGTCCACCTAGCTGTGGAACACCTAACAAGACTATTTAAAGGTATTTTTTAAAGGTCAATCCTGTGGACTCCCCCTGATGGAAATTAGGTAGCCTGCATTTATGTTGTTGCTGTTTACAGCTGTGCTTTTCTTAACCCAGATTCACACAGATTACAAGACCAAGTATTAATTTCAAATAAATACAACTCAAGCTTTTAAAACAAACATGCTCTCAGTTTTCTCTTTAGATTACAATTTTTTTATTATAAATTACATATTAAATATTTTAAAATAAATACATAAATATTCCATAACAAAAAAGCTTATGTAAATTTTATAGTGCTTTACATAATAAGAGATAACTTTCCTCACATAAATTTGAGTCTTCATGGAAGTTACATTTGGTAGCGACAACTACCAGTCAATCACAGATAAACATTTTTTTTTCTTCATTTAGGTACGAAGTAAACATCAGGCAATACATTCAGTATATCCTCAACATTCATTTCCAATTGGAAGTAAACTGAGATTCTTAGGATGACGTGTCTTGTTTGGCGTTAAACTTGTGGACCAGTGTCTCCAGGTCACTGAGGAATTCCTTATACGATTTTACGGAGCGGACCTCACACTTTGTGCATTCCGATTTCTGAGGAGAGAATAAATGATCAGAGAAATGACGTTATGTTTAAAACTTAAAACACGTTTACCATTTTCTAATCTCTCTCTCTCTCATTTGCGCACACACGCACGCACACACACACACACACACACACACATATGTGTGTGTGTGTGTGTGTATATATATATGTATATGTATGTGTGTGTGTGTGTGTGTGTGTAAACATATATACATATATATATATATATATATATATATATATATATATACATATACACACATATGACTCACAAAAATTATTGTTTTGAAAAAGACACTGGGTAAAGAATACTTACCAGAGCATTCTTAGGTGTCAGCTTCAGTTCTTCTATGAAATCGCTTGTCTGCAAGCAGTATGCCTTGAAGCACTTATCTGTCTGCAGTTCTTCCTTGGTGCAGGTCGAACTGAAGCACTCTCCTGCAATTGTTTTCAGTTCTTTACTGGCGCAGCACAGCGCTGTCTCGATAGAGTCATGCTGAGAAGAAGAGAGGGAGCAAAACAGAGAGGTGTTACAACTGCTTATTAAATAGTTCTGCGGCAAACAGCTGAGACTCCTCTGTTCGTTTTTAGAATGGAAGTCACACCTTAACGTCTTCAGCTACCATTCATCTCATTCTCGTTTTTTCAGTAAATTTCAGACTACTTCTTGTGTGCTCTCCTTTTCTCCCTAACACTTTATGTTGTAATCTTCCTCTCTTTCTGAGAATAGCTCTATCTTCTGGCTTGAGGTTTGGTATTTTCATAGTAACCTTCTTCCTGTGTGACTGATCTGTTTATATCTGTATGTCTGTTTAGCAAGCATGTGTACAAAGAAACAGACGTATAGCTGAAAAAGGGAAGAAAAAACTTAGTTCTTTGTCTTTGCTTACCTGATGAGAAGAGACACTGTAGAATGTTGAATCGTCACTCAGCTGTAAGGTACAAGGTAAAAAGTTTTTTAAATCAAACCAGTAAAAAATTGTGATGGTACATGATAAAGTAATAAAAAACAATACAAATACTGGCTTAAAGTTACAAGTGTGCCACTTACACAGGTGGTGGACTTTAGTTTTTGAATGTTTTGTAGTATCGTAGTAGTTAAAACCATCTCTTCACTTTTCGTGGTGGGAGCTGCTGTCACGTAGTGCAGAAAAGTCAGGGCTAGTATCCAGTCTAGACAGTGCATGGTGTCAGTTGAATAGTTCCTCTGCTGAGTTATCTTCAGTGTGAGGGTTGCTTATAGTTTGGTGTTACTAGTGCCTCTTATTTATACTGTGTAATGTG